GACTAGGCTTTAGGCGTTAAGAGCAGGGTGGTCGGTGGGGGAGTGACAAGGAGGATGGAACCAGAAAAAGACGACTGGATTCGTCCATACAACTACACATACATACATACATCTGGAAGCACATAGCAAAGGCGCACAGATACATAACATGGAGATAAAGCTAAATTAGTTAGTTAGTATTATAATGATAACCATCATGTCAGAAAGAATCTCCTACCTAATCCGGCGAAAAACCAGCCCCTCTCTTTTTTTTTTTTTTTTTTTTTTCTGTTGCGCACCGTTAGTCCCAAGGGACACATCTACAGCAGACTACAGTGAACTACGGTGTGCTACTGTATCTTCTTAACCATGACTAGTTTAGGTTCTGCGCAAGTTTCGCCCTGCACGCCCGATACCTAACCGGGTAACCCCGGAAGAGCGGTTAAATTGGGGGTGAGTGGGTGAGTGAGTGGATTAGATCATCTGTTAGTCTGTTAGGGTGATTTTCCTTGCAGTACGTACTCCATTGCGGTGCAGTAACCTACTACTACTAGTGGATTAGCAGTTATCTACCCTACTTTGTGAACTTAGTAGGTATAGTAATGGAGTTGATTGAGGTGAGTGGTAGTAGTGGTGGTGGTTAGTTATCTTCGCTTAGTAGTTAGTTCATTAGTGGTGAGCTACTTACTATAACTAAGTGGTTGTCTAACCCTGTGGGGATTGGGATTGGTATGATATGGTGTGGTAGGGTAGGGTGTGGTAGTACAGTGGCTGTTGTTTGGCACATGTTTGTGGACGTTAAGCGCGTGAGTGTGATACATTACACCAAAACGCGCTGTTGGGTTTGATTCAGTTTAATTCAGTTTGAAACTAGATAAATGTGATATTTCTATCCATTGGATTTTAACTCTTTAACTTTCTGTAGAGAAAAGTAGCAATTGGGTTGTAAAGGCCCTCCCTCCGCCCAAATCTGAATCATACACTCACCCATCATCCTGTCGAGTGACATAATAAACAGGGTAAAAGAATTACTAGGATATTGTTTGCTGTCAGAACTAAATCTAGCCTTCGTTCACGAGAGGGGTAGATGGATTCTCAGTGGCTATTGTCTTTTTTTCTCCCGTAGGCGTGCTTGACTGGGATTATGCTCCTTCGTGATCCTTGTCAAGGGAGGAGAAGAAAAGAAAAAGTATAGTGTACAGTAGAGGAGGGGTCTGATCCCGGTTGTTGGGTACATATCTTACTATCTTACTATCTACGGTGTAGTAGTTATCTATCTAGATTAAACAGTTAGGTAGCTGTGTAGTAATACTAACTTGTTATAGCAGGAGCATGATTCCTTTTGTTTCTCATGATTCACAATGATCGCGATAGTGATAGGGAGTAATCTACTCTCTCTGAAAGAGGGGAAATATGGACTAACAATCCCAGGATGACCCTGCTAATACCCAAACATGAATACAAGGATGTGGTCGGAATCGCAATGTGATGAAGATTATCAGTAGGGATAAAGTTATACCTCGGTAGCTTTTAGTATAGGGTATGTGATGATGTCTGCAGAGTATGTCAAGATGACATGTGGTACTTTCTGTTATTTTTATTTTTATTTCTATGATCCAAGAATATGTACATATACAGTAGTAGTAAGCAATGTCGGTAGATAGATACATATGTGCTACTAGTGACTACTTACATACATTGTACATACACGAGCTGTATCATGTACATATTATAATACTATTTACTTATGTAAATGTACATGAATATGTACATGTACATGTACCTAATCAAGTAAGTAAGTCAGCAAGCAAGCAAACTATCTATTTTCTAATTGTAGTAGCAATAGCATTTAATAGTCTCTACACTCATTTCTCCATAACATCATGTTTATGGGGAACATTCACATGTCTCATTGTTGAACGTGGACAGCTGAAGAATTATTTTATTTTTCTTAGTTTCTTTCTCTAAGCGATAAATATAGTTCTTGTAGATAGATTGTGTTTCTCCACTAAGCTTTCTCATCACGGAAAGAAAAAGAAAAAGGAAAAAAGAAATATGGTTCACCCAGCAAGTTCTCTAGTCTTTTAAGGTTATGCTTTTCTTTTACCCAGGATATGCACTCTCGGTACCATGGTTGAGGGACAGATCCCTAATGTAAGGTGATGATGACTTTGTTGTTTACTTTTTCCCAAATTCCCACTGTCTTCCGTTCCTAGTTAATGGAGTCTACTTAGTGATGGAAATGAAGGGATCTGATCCTACTTACTAACTTAGTATCGCATACCAATTCCCGGATATTGTTAAAGTTTGAAGTTGGTGCACTGTACCATCTACCTACCGAGTAGTATTAACATTTGTTGCCATTTTTGGGTTGTAGCCTGATCTGGTCAGTCAGTCCTTACTATTTAACATTTAATTAATAACTACAGTTACTACATTTGTAGACACTACTATTCTATCTTGTGATTCATATATTTCCGATTTTTCACAACACTTATCCTTATTAGGTTTCTATATCTTAGCTTCCATTCATAGTCACCCACTGTCTCTTTCATTTTAGATTATTAATCTATTTTGATCATGTAAACCCGACTAAACTCCGTCTCTTCCTCCGATGGAGAGATAGAGGGTTACACACGTAACCACGTACTCCATAGGTAGACACCTAATTAATTAAATGACAGGTGTTCACTAACCAAATTCTTTACCCAATCGTAATCTCCTTTTCATCTATTCCCGACCAGGGTCTTGTCTCGAAGTGAGTGACATGACACGACATGACATGACATTCATTCATTCCCCCCGCCGCTTTGCGACACTTTACTAACTCACTAATTAACTAGCGTGATCCGCTAACCACAAGGTAGTCAAGTCAATCTACCGTAGTATCTCGTGTCTTTGTTCTACCGATGATACATAACAACATACTAATCCGATCGACCAAGACAAAAGTACAAGATGAATAGATGGATGGATAGATCTGAAGTAAACAAAAAAGCAATGAAAGACATGTTTCTCCACACCGATCAAATCAGAAGAAATATACATTCATGTTGCTGTATCCAGAAAGGGAAATAAAAGGGATCCTTAATAGGATCCCCATGACCCGAAAACTGAGGTTAAGTTGAGTCCGGCCCGTACTAGTGTCGCAATAGTTCGAGTGAGTTCTGCCCTGCCCACTTTTTATTTTTCTTTTCTCCTATCTTTCCATTCGTTTTCTGAACCCTGGACTAACTGCTTAGCGGTTCAGCGGCTACCTCACTATTCTTTGGACTAAAGTAGGTTGGTACGTAGTCTATCGCATGGCTTGGATGGCTTGGATGGGTTTTCAGCTCTGCGCCACACATACGGACACTCTGCTCTGTCTTGCCACAGTGGGCTATCACTAATATGGTGGGTTCTTTGCGATAGTCTTTGGTTCTATCTTTTTCTATCTTGGGTTATTGTGGTGATACTTTCTATCTTTCTCATCAGGCTGAATTTCGAGTGCTTTCCATCCATCTACTATCGACAATCTCATACGATCTACACCCTCCAGCCGGTTTGTATCTCGGAGAAATGGATCATGACGACACTCACCCACGGCCCAACTCACTAGTCTCTCGCAAGCCCAGCGCCGCCTCGTGGGCGGAGGACTAACTATCCAACTGTGGCATACAATCGCTTCGATGAGCATGATGATCGATTGGATCGCGGGACAATCCGATTGTCATCCACTTCCTCCTCCTCCTCCTCTTTTTCCTCTTTCTTTCCCCCCGCCGGCAGTACGCTTGCGGAAGGTTACACACCATCGGCTGTCAACCAGTTTGGATCCGTCGCGACTATTGAACCGGATGGACGATGTTGCTTTGTCGGAATCTCCGGCTTTTCTCTCCGTGTCTTTGCCCAACAGGGTTGTTGCTCCTATCGCCATCGTTGGGCTGGTCACCGCTAGGATCGCGAATCAGATCTTGGATCGACCTATTTTCGCCCATCCATGGGGCGATTGACTTGACTTTCCCTGATAATTTTCCGCCAAGGTTGTAGTAATAGTAGTAGTAAACCTTCGCAAAGACTCAGCTGTCCTGTTCCCGCCTTGATTGAGATTCACATTGATCCGGTTGAGGTCCATGTTCAGCACGGGTGGCACCGTAGCAGAGCCTCGCCATGGCGCATCCTCCACACTTGGCCCCAAGCCTGACATCCGTCCGCTGATCGGCATGTCATTGCGGTTGGGGGGAAGGGAGTGGGTTGGACCCGCGCATCACTAGGTCATGATTTTCCTTTCCCAACAACCCCCAAGGTGCACGAGGGAGGGGAAGAGGAAGTGGACACCGGACAGGAACTCTCTGCAGCTTGCACCTCACCCTCAACTCTTTTCTCAATGAAAACTGCACGAGAGAGAGAGAGAGAGGCTGCGCTGGGGACCGCAACGTGCAGGTCATGTGACAGGGCCAGTGAACTAGCTGCAGCCACTAGAAGAATTAGACAGACGCCATGTCATGCCAGTCCGGGTTTCCTGGACCACCGCCTGTTCGTAAGCTCCTGCTTCCCTCTCGCCGTCGGTAATATTCTCCCGGTCCAGCTTGTTCCCCGGCTTCATCGCCGCCGCCCCCAGCCTGGCTCTTTTGGCGGTCTCTCCGGAAACGACCACCACGCATCCAAACGGGTCATCCTGGCAGCTGCTGCCTGGATCCTGGCGGCCCCCAAGGGGTTGCATTATGGAGTAGGCACTAGTCGCAACGGTCTTCCCACTCGACTGCATTGCCACGTCGACCGACATGGTCCAGGAGGGGTAGAAGCACGATTGACATCCATGTTCGCAATGGTTGTGGTGGTCATGCTTTCAAACAAACCCCGAGTCGAGGATCTAACCGAGTATACTTCGTAGTGAAGAAAGAGAAGAGCGTTGTTGGCGCGGTTTCGGGATTCACTGATCCCCGATGTCAAGACCGTTAATTGTCCAAGATTTTTATTTATTATTTCCTTTTTTTTGTCGTAGTTTCTTTGTTCCCCTCTCCATCTAAGGTTCTCCAACTCTATCCACTTGATTCAGGTCATGTTCCATGTTCACATGCGACCGGGATTCCAAGATTCGAGTAAAGAAATGCCGTCCAGGATAGCCTATGGTTCAGAACCGGAAGTCCGGCGGGTCATTCATGGCCCAGAAGCAGATACTCATCAGCAGCTGTCGTCACCGACTTCTGCACCGTACGTGCGTGATGAAGCAACCGACGTTGTACAACATCAAAGGTGATTGAGTTTGCGACCTCCCAGCCTTCGTCAACTCAGTGGCGGTAAAGATGGCGGTAAACCAGGGAAAGATAGAATAGAATAAACAAAAAATAAAAAGGAACGACATTGTAACTATGTGTCTGCAGTGACGTGATAGTGTCTGCTCCAAGAGAAGGGGATATCCTAAAGCCCGCCACTGGCATGGTGCAAGTCCGCCGCCCGACCGGTGCTGCTGGTGCATATCGAGCCATCATAACCGAGGCGCCGGCGCAGGTCGAGTCCCAGACCAAAGCATGTCTGTTGTACTAGGATGCAGTTCCTTCCATCCTAACGGACGCGCAAATAGCGCCATCCGGGCGTTGATCGATAATCTCACTCAGCGTTGTTTGCTCTGCTCCGCTTCGATCAGAGTATCCCGTAGCCTTTCCACCATACCCCCCATGCTAATGGCCCCAACGCCCCGATAACGGCTGCCCCAAACGGTATCTCCAAAATGCTCCAGATCCATATTGTCCCGATGGCGGGCGCCCCCCTCATCACCGCATAGTATGGTTCGTCGTTGGTTATGACCATCAGCTTACAGCCAAGAGCGACCGCCATCGGCAGGAACACCATGGTACGTAATGCCGGAGGAAAGAGCAGTTTTCGGAAGAATTCTAACGTCAGTTTCTCGCTGTCCCAGGGCAGAAGCGAGACCGTCTCGGTGGACTTCGACCTGCCAGTGCTGCCAATGAAGGAGACGACGTGTCCGTGAGCAAGATGGACCAGCAGGGTCAGCATCGGAAAGGCCACGAATACTGATTCGCGGACGAGATTGTCTAGTTCGATGGACTCGGCATATTGATGGGCTGCGAGGTACGCGAGGGTCAGGTGGAGGGTGGTCAGGGGGACTGACAGCAGGAGCGTGTCGACGACGGGCGGGATAGGATGGTCGGACTCTTCAGGTTCGTCTTCTCCCTCCTCAGTGGATGCCGTTTCGTCCGTGACTTCTTCAACTCGCCTGATATCCTGTCCGTTTTTTACCGCCGCGAGCTCCGATGCGTTGAGGCCGGAAATGTCTCCGGTCGTGGGGTCGATGGTCACAAACCGGGGGCTCGAGTCAGAGGTCCCAGTCGGGGCGTTTGCCTGGCCTAGAAGTTTGCTTTGCCGTTCAGATATAATGTCCATCAACGTCTTCTCCTTGCTCTTCGGGGGATTCGGTGCAGGGCGCGCGAGGGGGATTGAGGAGGGATCGAACGTGTCGCTGTCGACAGTTGTCGCTGCTGCCGCTGCTGCTCGTCGCTGTTTCCGGTTCCTCGGACCTTCCATAATGCTGGAGCCCTGTAAATGTGCGTAGCTATTTATTGGCGAGAAAAGGGGCGATGGTTCGCGATAAAACGAGAAGCAGGGGGTTGTCTCAGGTGAAGCTCCGCTGTCAACTTGAAATGATGTATCACCGCCGGAGTTAAGCGGGGTTAGCCGTGCTGGTGGGCTGCCCCCGTCTGCACTGTATACAATATCTAGATGTTACAATCCAGCACAATGTAGATCAACCTTCAACCACGTTTTCATTAGTAGCTAAGTAGAACCCTAGATTAAGAACTAATAGAATTACAAACGGTCCAGCAGCATAGTTAAGACATGAGAATTTCCTTCTCCCGTCAGAAACCAAATACATAATCGAAATGAAACATCTCGCAAGGCATAACACGCCAAAAGCATGCCTTTCCTGCTTATTTTACCCTCAAGAAGCCATACACCTACTCATCTAACCAGACTGGTAGAGAGCCGGCCCAGCGACCACATGAGGGTTGATCATGGTGATGTTGAACGGAGTCACGTAGAGGTTCGTATCAGTAATGGCAATGAACATGGTGCCATTCACGGCGGGATCACCTGCATAGGTCTCAACATTGGGCTGAATCGTCGATCCAGATCTCGAGCCATTGAGCGTCAACTCAGAGTAGGTCACGTTCAGCTGCGTCACCCACGCCACGTACTTCGGGGCTCCAGCGGTAGTCGAGGTTACGTAGCTATTGTTCGGCCCAACAGGCTGTCCTGGAGCATCCCAAGACAAGAAGACTTCCCGGCCAGGGAACGACAGAGGGTTTGTGCGGTTGTGGGTGATTGCAGGGGAGCAGTTAATACCCACGGCATCATTGTTCTGGCAAGCTTGCGAGCTGGGGACCGCCGTGCTGTTCAACACGTTTGTGCCATTGGTGATAGTCTCCCTCCAAGCATCAGCGCCGTTGATACGAACCGGGTTCGGCTGGTTCAGGATAGACAGTGCTGGGAAGTTTTGCCATGCGAGACGCGTCTGGCCTTCTGGGCAAGAGGCGATATACGGAGCGAGCAAAGTCCAAGCCCATGACTGAGGAACACCGACCTCGAACCAGACTGGCATGGGGAAGAGTCCCTCAAACTGCCTGAAGATCATTTGCTGGCGGGCCTCCGTGGTGATGGACAAAGTGAGAAGAGTCGCTGCTTCGCGCGAGTCCAGATGGGACAAGAACCCATACACACCAGCCTCACCGAAGCGTGTAAGCTTCTGGCAGAAATCCAAGAATTCGTGAACTGTGGTATAAGGGTATACATAGTTGCACTGTCTAGGTGCCTCTGCGCCCAAGATGTTGGTCAACATGGTCGCATGGCCGACTTCCTGATCCGCCATGAACTCGATCAAGAAACGATCCTCCGCTGTCAACCCCGCAGCAGTGAAGTCGTCCACAGAGAAGCGTGCCAGTCCATCATGGAAGAGGTCGAGCTCGATGTACTCTTGGTACAACGCAAGAGCCTGAAAAACGTGTTAGCAAGGGCAGGAAGCCGTGAAAAGAGTCAAGTCAACACTCACCAAAGATTCGTAGTCAAAATCACTCTTTGCATTATAGACAGGGGTAGTCCCATTCGTTCCCACGCCCCCTGCTGGGATATATGGCCCAGGCTCAGGGCTATGAAGCTGACCATCACTAGGGTAGGTGGTAGCCTCCGGAGGAATGCCCAAGGGAGAAATTCCAGGGCCGATAGGGCCAAGAGTGAGTGCCCCAGTCGTTGTCGGTACCCCAGTGTACGGAGTGTGGGCCTGGGTTGTGGAATATGTCACGACAGGCGGAGGAGCTACAGCCGCAGGGGCAGTAGGAGCTGTAGCAGGGGCAGTGGCAGGAGCAGTTCCAGGGGCAGTTCCAGGCGCAACGCCCGTCGCATTCCCGACCTGCCGAGGAATGTTGAGGCGGGGATATGCCAGACTCAAGGGCAAGGAGCCCATTGAGCCAAGCAAAATCAAACGATATAAGGTCATGCTGATCAGCGGTTGTATTCCAGAAGTTTAAACATCCGCAACTTGTTGAAACCTGAAAGCTCGACAGGCACCTAGCAGGTACATAAATACGTTGATAGCCAGCACATCGTGCTCGTCATGTCACCTCCCATTTGTGACGCAATCGGGCAATCATAGTCTTCACGACTGTCTGCAATGGAGAAATTATCCACACGGTTTGTCGAAACAGGAATTTTTCTAGGAGTTCGGATGCGCGTGGATGTAACCTTCTCATCATCCATGACCCTCACGGAAGGCGACGGAAATATGGAACACAATGAAGCTCACACCGCAGACCCACCATGACTGACTTCAAGGAAAGAGAAATATGAGTTATGTCTGGTTAAGCCCCAAGCTTTGAGGAAAACGCTTGGGAGCGAACGGTACGGTGGTCATTACACTCAAGCCACACCGCGTGGCTTTCAGAAATGCATACGGGTTGGACAAACGAGTAGAACGACCCCTTCTAAGGAACGGATGGATGTGCCATAGTAATTGCCCAGGGGAAAAGTAAGTTGTATCACGTAAGGAAGTTTTGTAGCCTATCACGGTCCCAGAGGCCGGATTCAGGTCTCGTGGAGTGCCTGAGGATGCTCTACAGATGTGTCAGTCTGAAACCAGCATTCCATTCGGTACAACAATCACTTTACTTTGCAACAAAGAATATCATATGTAGACCCAGTCGACTTACCCACAATAGGCCAGACATCCGATGGTGAGCTTGGTCAATGGATTCGCTATATGGTTGGACGGAAATGATATCCAACGGAATGTCAGCCCGGCAAGGTAGCACCGCGCGAGGTATGAATGGCTAGAGATCAGCTGTTTCCGGCCGTGCCCGATAGGTATCAGCACCTAGTCACTATGACAGGTAGCATGTCGCCATTGTTGCTCTTGTGATGGCAGGTGTCACGAATATAGCCAGTTGCATCGCCCTCTACAAAACCCGAGTTTTTGCGGTGAACCTTTGTCCTTCTTATGCATTTCTTCACGATAACATCTGTAAGAAAGGGGATAATACTTTTTGACAGTACTAGAACATGTCGCAATTCAATGCTGCCCAGTTGTTGTCGGTCGAAGGACTGAATGTCGTCTTAACCGGCGGTGGCACAGGTAAGCTGAGCCCCTTACTGCCGCAAAGTTCGTGTGACTGACTACTTTTACCCTCCAGGATTGGGCCGTTCAACAGCCCTTGCCCTGGCTGAAAACGGTGCCGCCAAAGTCTTCATCCTTGGCCGTCGAGAGGATGTTTTGCAAGAGACCGTGTCTCTTGGCAAAAAGGAAACCATTATTCCAGTCCAGGCGGATATAACATCGAAAGAGTCTTTGCAGGCAGCCTATGAGACTGTCGCAGCACAGACAGATCATGTCGACCTACTCATCGCCAACAGCGGTTATGGAGGTCTGCCAATGGCACCGCCAAAGCCAAAGCCGGACGGGTCAATCCCAAGTCTTGCTGAGTTCCGAGATCATCTGTGGTCCTCCCCAGAAGAAGATTTCGGAAAGCTCATGGAAATCAACGTGAAAGGGACGTTTTTCACTGTTGTTGCATTTTTGCCGCTGCTCAACGCAGCAAATGAGAGAAGACCGGCTCCTGTAGAGGACCAACTCCCAACACCAAAGGCGCAGGTTATCATAGTTGGTTCGGTAGCCGGTCATTTTCGAGTCGTGCCTTATAGCATCGCATATAGTATCTCCAAGGGTGCAGTGCATCACCTGATCAAGACACTGTCCAACATTCTCACACCGTACGATATCCGTGTGAATGGCATAGCACCGGGATTGTTTCCTTCTGAGATGACGAAGATAGCGTTCGGAATCACCAAGTCATCAGCCTCGGATGGTGCCTTTCCCAAGAGTGAACTGCCCCCCGGTCGCGCTGGTCGCCATGAAGAGTTTGCAGGCTTGGTTCTTTGGATGGCAAGTCCCTCTGGGGCATATGCCAATGGCAATATCACAATCATCGACGGGGGTTGGCTGAGCACGTTGCCAAGTTGTTAGGTACTCAACACTGAAAAGAACACGATGGCACGTATATACATATATTCTCATTGAGCTAGGAAGAAACGTTCATGCATAACCCAATACAAGATGTTATACGCTTTGAAAGAAGATGCCAAATACGATGCCTAGACCCGCTGAGCATAATATTAGTTCAATAAATGCGACCTGCAGCCACAAGAGTATGCCACATTCCGTGCAGCGCTTGAAATGGAGCTTTTATATGGTTGCTGTAAGTCGTTGCACCAGATAATCACCCGTGGTTATTCCAGGATACTTTGCAGGGCGGGTCTCCTCTTCGAAGGTCCCAGGAATAGCTTCAATGAATTGGTTCATATTGGGATTGCAGAAATATGCAATGCTGTAGCGATCAGGGTAGATAACGGAATCATGCTCTTCCTCTCCGACTGCTGTCGGGGGCTCGACAACTCGGTGTCGGGTACTTTTGATGATGTCGTTGGACCATCGAGCCAGCAAATCGCCAGCATTAATAACCACAGTGTCGGCGATGGGGGTCACATCCACGAAAGTGCCCTTGGGACTACGAACTTGCAGTCCCCCGCGGCTATCTTGAAAGAGAAGCGTGATGGAACCATAATCGCTATGTTCACCGGCTCGAACCTGTCCCGGATTTTGCTTGAAGACCTCCTTAGGCACTGAAGGATAATGCAGCAGGCGAAGGTTATTGTCGCCGGCATCCACGTAGGCATCAAAGAAGTGCTCTGGCAAGTTCATGCCCAGTGCAATAGCGCGCATGACCTCCATGTGGAGCGACTTGCACATGTCAAAAAACGACAACATCACCTGCTTAAAGTCCTTCCCTTCATCATCGATGTGGTCGGGCCACCGATTCGGAAAGCCATCCACACCTTCCCGACCGATTTCCATTGTCTCCTTCAGGTCGGGAGTGGTTCGAGAGGCCCCCGCCACGTCATCGACCGTGCTTAGCTTCTCTTGCCCAGTCTTGACGTATCCACGGTTCGACTGTGGGGTAGTCCAGCACAGACTATCTTTTTGATCCTGCGATCGACCGAAGAAGCGACCTGAAGAGCCAAATACACCAGAGACAACGGAAGGAGGAATGCCGTGGTCTTTGAGGTAGAGGAAGCCGGATGATTTGAAAGCGTCTACGATGGACATGGCGACCTCATGCTTATCGGCGGGGGTGCCGTTTAGAAAAGGTCCGAAGTCGATGATCTACGGTAACACCAGGTGAGACAAAGACCAGACCCGACCAGACCAGAAGACTCCAGACACAAGCAAGAAAGCACGTGGAGTGAAAGACAGGGGGAAAGGCCGTTCACGGAAAGACTTACTGGGATAACCAAGTCATCCTTTTCCACTGCTGTAGAAGCTGGGTGACACTGTTGTTGGGGGAGATTACCTTCCATTGTGGAGATGCACGATAACTCCAGGATAGAGAAGACGGCAGCCACAGTACAAACGATCGGAGCAACGAGTTGGGATGTAAAGACTTAATATCTGGGGAATTGAGATGGGCAGACAAGGAAACGAGATGGCGCAAGGGGAGGCTCGTGCAGAAGACCGTGAGATCACTTATCTGCCATGAACCAAGGATGACGCTGGGGCAAAGGGCGAGTGATTGGGCAATAATAGAGAAGCAATCGGCGGTTAAAGCTCCCCAACTTATTACTATGATAAGACCCGGGCAATCAAATCGCGGGGCAGGGACGGGCAATAACCATGGCAGTGTGATAGGGAAAGATTGGAGATATGGAGACAGTAGATGATGGAGATATGGGGAATGCACAGCTGGATTGGCTTATCGGACCAGCTTGGGGAGATTCACCGGGTCAAGCGCAGCGATTATCAGTCCGATAGAACTGCAATCTCCATCAAGATCAGACCCTGATCTTGAAGATAACAGATCAAGGAGTTTATCGCAGCTGAAGAAAAGAGAGGGGAAGAAAACCAAGGGGAAGTTGCAGTTGATCAGTCATCTTCATGCATCTCACATGAGTATTTACCCCTCATTAGCTGCACCCTCCCAATACTTAGTGAAGGTAGTACTGAGTTGAACACCAACACAAACAACAACAATAATTACACCTCTTCCTTCTATTTCTCTTCATCATTGTCTTTCTATGATACAAACGTCAAAATGCCCCCTCTGATCGTCGACATCCACACTCATGTCTACCCTCCTTCTTATATGCATATGCTTCGCGCGCGCAAGACAGTCCCCTATGTCCACGACCCAGCCAACAATGCAACCCCTCGTCTCATCATCCTTTCATCCGATGATGACCCGTCAATCCCCGTCGATCAGCGTGGTCGCCCCGTGGATTCGTCCTATTCAGATATCAACGTGAAATTGGCCTTTATGCGACGCCATGGAATCAACTGCAGCGTGATTTCTTTGGCCAATCCGTGGCTGGACTTCCTCGAGCCGGACGAAGCCCAGACATGGGCAGAGCGCATCAATGACGACCTGGAGACAACTTGTGCGCGGGTGAACAACGATGCAGACCCCGACAGAACAAAGGCACTCCATGAAAAGGAAACGCTGTTTGCTTTCGGGGCACTTCCGCTCAGCGCCCCGAGCCCTGATATTGTTGTAAACGAAATCAGAAGGCTCAAGACATTGCCCCATCTCCGGGGGGTGATCATGGGAACAACAGGTCTAGGCAAGGGGCTAGACGATAGTAGACTGGATCCGGTCTGGGAGGCCCTACAAGATACGGAGTCCATGTTGTTCCTGCACCCCCACTATGGGCTACCGGATGAAGCCTTTGGTGGACCCGAAGTAACGAATCGCTATGGTCATGTTCTTCCCCTAGCTCTAGGGTTTCCTCTTGAGACAACCATTGCGGTGACGAGGATGCTTTTGGCGGGGGTCTTTGATTGCTTCCCACGGTTGAAGATCCTCCTAGCTCATTCCGGAGGTACCCTTCCCTTCCTTGCTGGTCGGATCGAGAGCTGTATCCTTCATGAACGCAAATTCATCGCCAACGGAGGTGATGTTCCCGGTCCGCAACGCAGTGTGTGGGATGTTCTGAGCACCAATATCTATCTGGACGCTGTGGTGTATGGCACTGCTGGGTTGAAAGCAGCTGTGGCAGCAGCAGGAGGTAGTGATCGTCTTCTCTTCGGTACGTTCGTCCCGGGATGCTTTTCTGCTATAACATTATTAACAACAGTATAGGAACTGATCATCCGTTCTTCCCTCCTTTGGGTGAGGATGACGAAGAATGGCCGAGTGTGACAACTAATTACAAAGCGATCCATACTGCATTCGAATCAGAAGGAGATACTGCTGCAGGGGTCTTGGGGGGCAACGCGGCTCGCATACTGGATTTGAAATAGACATGAACTATATAATAATAGCAATGCTGCATGGCATGACTCCATCTGCTTTGTGCTTTTGCTTGCAGTGAAACGTGTCAGTGATACTGCACATCCGTGGTATATGCAGGATGCAAGTATTTCCGTTGAGATCAGTAAGTCATACATGTCAGATGGACGCAAATCCCGGCTTCATCCCTTCGGGTTGGCCAAGGCCAGACTGCGGCGAGAATCACCACGTCTACATCTTCGGGGAATTTCTCGAAGCTAGCATCTCCCAGCCTATGAGCCTCCAGATCTCTTGTACAAACCAGTCGGGCACTGATTGCTCGGGGATTTTTGAGCAGGTCTGAAGTCGTTCAATGTCCCGTTCATCTGGCTCGATGGGGTACTGTAGAGCCTCTGGCCAAAGCGAGTCCGTGCCAAAGACCGAGTGAAGCAGGGTAGTCTGTAGCTTTCCCTTGAGCTTGGCAGCCAACTGTTTGTTCGTACACCCATGACTGGGATCTGAAGACATAGATGGAGCATCGTCGAGTAGGGCTAGCATCCTTTCCAATGGCCATATAAGGCTCTTAGCCTCCATGGCCGCTGCGGGTAATGTGCTCTCAACCATGTCAATTCTCTCCAGACCCCCTGGTAAAGGAAACTTGGCATCGTTCATCTGTAAATCAGGTCGCAAACGCAAATCGTGGAAGACAAACAAGGAAAGTAGCGTCCCCACACGACTCAAAAGTACGAATAAAAACCCTTCAAGGATATTCTGTTTAGCTACACAGTCAATGTTAAGCGATAGTGCCATTTTACTCAGTAACAAGCTCATGTGAGTGGCTACTTCATCCCTTTCCTCTTCTTGGTTCGGAGAATTACCAGAGTAGTCTGTTCTGAATCGCTTGACCGTTTCCTTCTGCCTTTGTCGAGTTTGTTTTGCGCTTGTTTTAGACTCACGAAGTTGCTGTTCTGCTTTTCTCCTGCAATGCCGGCCCAAAGCGTCTACAATCGATTCATACAAGCGAACAATGGAGTACGTAATCTGCCCAGCATCTCGCATATGTTGTCCAGATGCAGATAGTTTCTTGAAAGCCTGGATCAGGATAAGAAAAGCATTCTCGGTGCTATTCAGAACAGCCAGTATATCCGGCTGCTTGGGCTGTGGTATTGCTTTAGTCGTGGATCGGGGTACAATTGGTTGTTCAATCGCATCAAGAAGAGTTTCTGTTGCAGTAGCACAAAGCTCCACTGCGGCCCTAACAATGTTTGAATTATTGGGCCGTTTCTGCAGAACTTTCTGTAATGCGTAGAGTTGCCTCATGAAAGGTGCAGTGACTATAAGGCAATTTCGGTCAGTATAATCTCATCCATTAAAGGCGCCGGCGAACAGACATTGTTCAGGAAAGTCTAAATGATTGACCACACCGCCATCTAATCCTGCAGAAAGACTATTGTCAAACACCGAGGCATCCATTCGTGAGAGGGTCTGGGTCTTTGCTCTCTTCCGTGTCATAGCTTCACTGCCGGCAGCAGCACTGTTCGCAGTAGTCTTGCGTTTCAATGCCGCTTGACCGTTTTCTGCACCTGCATCACCTGCATCCTGGAGCCGTGCCCGAAGAGACTCATTGCGTTGCTCTAGTTCATATATTCGATCCAGCAAATTGCATTGTTCTGCTTCGGACCGCTCATATGCTTGTTGCCAAAATGAGACGCTGTCGAAGAATTTGTCATGCGTGTAAGACCTGTCAGATGAGTGGGTGCTTTTGACGTGATGACGAATCTGCAATAAATGCTCTAAACTTTCAATTAATCTGCATGTCTGTCAAAAAGTACTAAGACGGGAATATTGCCTTTGAGATCCACATCCGGTGGCTTGAGCTTGACGATGGCCATTGCAAGTGCTAGCTGAGCGGGAGATGGCATTGTAATTCCATTCATTTTTACTTTCTTAGAAGTTCATCACAAAATGGGAGACGAGGCGGTATCGCAATGCATCAAAGCGTCGAGTCGAGTTCATCTCAGTTAATTACTCTCTTTCCTCATTTGGAAGGCACGTGTGCGGTATCAAAACCAAGGGATACATTTGGGTCTGGAAGGTCCTTGACATTATATTTCTTCATTTACGCTGACAATGCTTTGAAGAAATGCTCAAAAGTACTAGTAATGCTAATCCTCTGACTGACTTAAAGTGACGCACACACAATTAAGTATTGAAGCGTCGTCCAGTGGCCTCTGGACTCAAACTACAGCCAATCCACTACTATATATATACATTGAAGTAATATAGGAAAAGTGATGTAGTAGTACTGATAAATTGAATTTTGGCAAAATTTTGAAGAGGCACTGCGAACCACAATTAAAATAAATGTCAATATCAAATTACTCTATGTCAAGCGAAATAAGCTCTTATTACTACTAGATAAGTACTTGGACTAATCGGGTGGACAAAGTGAAACCGAGGCAGACCCGCCACCGCCAGCCAGACCCTCCCGCCAAGCCCGACATGAAGCTTCATCGGTTTCTGCTACCACTTTCTCTCCTCATTCACCACTCCAACACAAGACCTCCAAGAGGCGTGCATCGCCAACTAAAACACCACGTCGACTCCGCATAACAAAACCTGAAGAGAAAAACCACGTCTAAGCTCAAAAACAATACCGCGACGGCCAAACGCGCACCACCATGGCCTCAAAAGACGACCTCAAGGCCCACGCGGCCTCCAACGAAGACTTCTACGCCCTCCTCGACATCTCCCCGGCAGCTGCAGAATCAGAAATTCGTCGCGCCTACCGCCGAACTGCTCTGAAGTACCACCCCGATAAGATCGCGAACCCTACACCTGCGGACATCGACAAGTTCCATACGCTCCAGATCGCCTACGATGTTCTTTCCGATCCGTCGGTGCGGCAGCTCTACGATAATGCGCGGGAGGCGCGCCAGCGCAAGCAGCGCGAGCGGGATATGATGGATGCTGCGAAGAGGAAGATGAGAGAGGACTTGGAGGCTAGGGAGCGCGCGGGGGCTGCGGCGATGGGTGGCGCTGGTGCGCAACGCGGTGTGAAGCGGCCGTGGATGGGGGGCGGTGCTGATGATGATGCTGAAGCGAAGCTGCAGAGGGAGATTGAGCGGATTGCCGAGGACGGACGACGGAGGCGACGTGAGGCGGAGGAGAAACTGAAGCAGGAGATGGAGGAGGAGGAAAAGCTGATGCGCCAGGAGGAAGAAGAGGCGCAACGGGTGGCGGACAGGAGTAGTCAGAAGGTTGATCGCTCGAAAGAGGGTGGTACGAATGTTCCGGAGTTAGAACGAGGTGTTAAGGTGCGTTGGGTACGTGAAGGACGCGGGCTGGACCTGGATAAAGATCGGTTGATCTCTCTATTCTCGTCTTACGGCGAGATCGAGAACATCCTGCTCCTCAAGGACAAACGACAACGTATCGGAGACAACCGCGAGAAGAAGACGGTTGCGACAGCTGTGGTGATTTTCGCTTCCATTGTCAGCGCTCACTTTGCTGTTCTGAACAGTGAGAAGAGGTTGCGTCAGAGTGTTGGGCAAGCGGATAGCGAGTGGTCTGCCATCGAATCTGTCTTCTGGGCATCTGGCAGCCAACCCGACCTGAGCGTTGCAGCCAACGCCTATTCTACTGCTTCCACTCCCCTGGAACAGGGCATCGCAGCACCCAACTCTTCAAGGCCAGTCCCTTCCGCCGCCCCTCCCAAACCATCTTTCAACTTTGCTGGTTTGAAATCAGCAGCATCTGATGCTGCTGGTAAGAACCCCGGAAAAGCACCATCCTTCGGTTCCTTTGCTGCTGGCGCGGCGTCAAAGTCGGCGCAATCTGCGCCTGCTGGCTCAACCAATGGCTCGAGCGCCCCGAGTATGGCGGAGCTGACGCTGATGCGGTTGAGAAATGCGCAGCGGGAGAAGGAACGCAAGGCCCTTGAAGAGCAGCTTAGGAAAGAAGATGAAGCTGCAGATGCAGCTGAGGCTGGAGCCAAGGTATAGATGCGATATATTTCAATGACTCGAGGCCATGGTGCGCATTTACAAAGGCGTTACATGGTCGGATGAACTCAACAGCAGCATTAAGTGCTGCGCTATGTATTCTTAGACACTTCATTCAAGCATAAAGATACCCTCACGTTTTGTATTATCAATTACTTTGCATTTTCCAATGAGACATGAAGACGTTGTATTTACCGGTATCCTTTTGACAATATATTACACATTTGATCTATGATACATTGTTGACGCAGTTGATCATTTCATCGTGACTCCTCCTCTTCCTCCAACTGTTCCAACAGTTCCCTGGCCCGCTGTCCCTCCAGCTCTAGGTTACGGCCCTGGTTTTTCTTCACTCCGCCATTGTAGATGTGCTCTCTCGTCCAAGCAGGCACAAGTGCCTTCAACTTCACCTCGCCAGACCCAGAAGATCCATCTTCGGCACCAGTCCATGAGACCTTGAACTCCTGATCAGGACTATATTGGGTCCCCTCACCAGTCAAAGCAACGTCCGTCATCATCTCCAATCGACACAAAGCAAGTCCGATATTTCCAACACCGCCCAAGAATTTGCCCGCGCTACGGCCCTTGCGCGCACTGACCTTGGAAATATTCGACCCGGATGGCGGCAACTCCACCTCCACAGAGGGGTCATACACCGGCATATCGGCCGACCCCAAGTCGCCTAGATCCCCATTATACAACTGAACCGGCAGTATACGCTTCCTCACAACACCCGTATGATGTGTTCGGATCGTAAGTTCCTGACCGACATAGCATCCCTTGCGGAAATCAATACCCCGCGCCATATCCATGTTGGACTCCAACGGAAGCGCGGACTCGCGGATTATCTCTGACTGCCCTTCCGCAATGCCATGCAACATCCGTCGCACCGTATAAGAGCCCAGATCCACCTCCGATCCATAACCTTCGCCTTCTCCCTCCGCCAGATGCGTCGTCAAGTCCGCCTCGCCTGGTGTGATAAGCCTAGAGCCGAACCCTGGTGCGCGGGTATCTACACACCCGGTAACTGTTGCAGAAGAAGAGGCAAATGGCGAAAGTGACTGAGAATCCAGGTTATATGCTGCCCACCGGGGTTCACTATGATCTTTCCAGGAGGCCCACACGGTCCGTTCTCCCTCATCTAGGGCACGTAGCTTCAGTTTCGCGCGGAGCTTGTGCTTTTTGAGATGTTTCAAGAGAGCCGTGACTTCGCTCTTGTCCACTTCCACCAGCCATGCGTGTTCGTCCGGTGATGTGCCCTCTGCCTGGGGTAGTGGGTAGAGGAAAGCGTCGTTGAGCACTCGGCCTTGGGAGTTCAGGAAAGCAGTGTAGGAGCCGGTTCGACGGGTTGCACGGTTCGGGTCATTCGTGATGAGCATGTTCTGGGTGATTAAGCCTTGGAGATATGAGGTGCTATCGATGCCTGTTATGGAGATTAATCCGCGGTTTGTGAGACGTGCATATCCGGTTGCTGGCGGGGAGGGTGGGTTCGGGGTGGTGGATCGTGGGGCGCAACGCTGGACGGTCGTGGAGAAGTATCGATTGCGGCCGAGACATTGCGCACATATTGTGCGTGTAGATGGGCTGGAGCGCATCATGTTTGTGGGCTGATACTGGAATTGGTTCTGCGTAGCGTTTACAAATCAGAGGCCCATGAATGACATCGTGGGTAAGGCGGTGGAAAAAGGCAGAATATAGAACATGACATAATCTGTCTTACGAGCTAGCCCAAAAAGGAGAATCTACTCCGCATAGGAAAGGGTTCTCTGTAGCATGGACAATATCAAATTGAATTCAAGATCATGAAGTGATGAACCGCTAACTTCATTAGAAACGCATATGTATAGCTGATGGGTCCTATCAAGCAAAAATGACCGAGTTACTTGTGTCCTTTAGCAACTCCTTCCAGAAACCCAAGCAAGAAAGCCTTATTGACAGGCGAAGACACCTTATTGGCATTAGATGCCTGACTATCCTCCATTTCATGAGGCGCCTGTCCAACATTAGGAACAGCGGGTAAATTGACCGGCGACAGTGGACTAACGACAGAAGAAGGCTGCGACGGTTTCGCAACAGATGCGCCCAGTTCCGCAGGGGAAATATTTGGAGAGACAGAGGTTCTGCCAAAGAGAGATAGGAGCATCTCCTTCTGCGCAACAGTTTGACTCGGTCGGCGGTCGAAGCTGGGTTGAGGTTGCGAATGCCGAGGGGATTCCGTGGAGCGTGCGGCGGCCTGTTGATCTTGACTCTCATTGAGTGCAGTCCGAATCGGCAGAAGATTCATCGCATTTGGATTATCAGAGCGACGTAGAATCTGCGGCTGGAAAGGTTTAGGTGGCTCCGGAGAACTGGGTTTCGGACCCCTAGGCTGGGAGGGAGGACGGGAGGTCTGCGGAGAAGCGCGTGCAGGAGGCTGTTCCTTGGCGGCTTGTGGTCTTGCCAAGATTGTTATAGGGGCCGTAACAGCCGATGCCTGCTCATTTCTGAGTCCTTTGCGATTCGGCCCATTCTGTGCCTTTCTTGATGGCTTCTGAGCTCCGGGTTGTAAAGTATGCATGGTCGGTCCAGAGGCTGGCGAAGAAGTCCATGGATTAGCCGCGGGCGAACTGCGCCGCGCAGGGCTATGGTCCCCCCGGGGTCGTTGAAGGACTTGTTTTCTGGCCGGGGACACTGATTGACCCGATAGTTCGGCCGGCCCAGAGACAGCAGGAGCAGGAGACCCTCTCAGCAAATTAAGGAGATGATCCTGATGTTGTGATGGTCTTCGTTCACTGGCTTGCGCCGGTCCAGTATGGGACACCAAGTTCGCCTTAGGCGTCTTGGGTGTTTTGGTCGAGTCATCCTTGAAAACATTCAACAGAGCCAGGGAATGGCTCGTAAGTTTGGGTGGAGGCAAGTTTCTCGCCGGTGGCACGGTCGCACCTTGAGCTTGGGAAGGATGACCTGATTGAGAGAATTGAGGATCACCGGTTCGATGGTAGGGGGCAGGGGCGGCTTGACTCTGCGGAGCGGGAGCAAGTTCTGCCAGCGAACCTGTGTCCTTGTGGAAGTGTGATGCAAGCGACTGCTGAGGGGGGAAACTTCCGTGAAAACTACCCGATGGCCCTGGAGGAGCAGTAGAGAGCGGTCTTTGATTCAACTGGCCATGAGGCATTGTGTTGGCAATGGATGCTGGTAGGTGTGGTACAGGACCGTGATTGGGCTGTGGGTATGACGGCAAGCTGGGGGGTACGCCGACATGAGGGCCTTGCTGGGGAAAGCCCGGGAAGAAGCCCATCGCGGGATAAGGACGACTCACAGGAGGCACACTCCCTGGGAGAGGGGCCGGCATCGATTGCTGCTCTGGAATATGGGCTTGTGGAAGGGATTCACGAGACGAGCCGGTCCGCAGCAGCTCTAAAAGAGCATTAGATTTAGAGGCACTAGGCCCTGAGACTGGTGCATGGATGACCGGCGATGTATTTCCAGAAGAAGCCAGATTGTTAATGTTGAGAAGGCGCTTAAGGTGAGCAGAGGCGTCCTGAGTCGACGCAAGTTCTGGCAAGTCACTGGGAGTAGCCATTTCCGCAGCCGCCTGGTTCGGTGTGAAGCTGTGCACGGCATGGGAAGCTTCGTCGATCGACATGTCGTTCTGCATAGGCACCTTCGAACCACCTGGAGTCTTTCCTTCAAGCCTCTTTTGCTGGGCAATCCACTTCTTGAGTGGATGCATAAACGGAGCTACCATATAGAACTTGTTCGCATTGGCGACGGCGAAGCCTTGATCTTGCTGCTTGCTCTTCTTCAGTGTCGGCAACTCCGACAGCTTGTACCACTCAATCTTGCTAATCTCCTTGCGGGTACGCGGCTCAAAATGAGCATCCTGTGGCACGCCCCGGAAAACGTACAGCCTCATGTGCTGCTCTCTCATGGTGATTTCGATGAACTTGACATCTTTCTCATCTTGGACCAATCCGGCTTCCCGAACGTCAAAACCAGTTTCCTCATAGACTTCTCGAATGGCGCAGTCGATGTCTTTCTCATCTTTATTAATTTTGCCTCGTGGAAAACTCCAGTTGGCGCCTTTCTTCCAACCCTTGACCAAGACCACCTCATCCATGTCATCGTTAAGCATGATGGCACCGCGCACCGGAACCCGGGTTTTGTAGGCCAGGAATTCGGAGAATGCGGTGATATGATGATAATGCGACCATTGGGACATCAATGGGCAATGCTGAAAGATGCGCAAAGCAAAGGCTTTCAGGGACAAGGACGGGAGAGCCGGATCCAACGGCCGAATGAAGTCTTCGTAGAACCATTGTGCTTCTTCAACCTGAAAACAGATGCGTTCAACAGATTCGAGCTCTTCTCGGGGTAAGTTAATGATAAAGCGAACACATAAATCATCCAGCCCTGCCCGGAGCCATCCAAGTTAGCACAGCCGAGGTCACCGTAGCCACACGGGCGGGGGAGACAAGCGTCAAGGCGAGACTCACAGTCTTCCAACTGCATCTTTGTTTCTGTCATACTGGACAACGTGCTCTAGCATTTCAGCAGAGGTAAGGGCAGGCAAGGAGCTCTCCGAGCGTCAAGCGGAGAGAGCACGAGGCGGAGCGAACGAGGACTGAGGGGACAGCACAGCGCGCTGCTGCAGCTTCAAGGAAGGGTGCTTGGCAAGCGCCAACCCTGAAGCGTACTTTGTGCGAGAAGGCTAAGGAGGCAGGGATTCGAGGGTAAAACCAATGGGTTATCTACCTCCAACCAAGAGAAGAAGCGCTGATAGGTGGGTAGAGAGTGAGGAAAAAGTGGCGCTTGTGGTCGACACCCGACGGCCTAACAATAATGGAGGACGGCTAAGAGTGAGTGAGCTGCGAATGAGTTGGGTTGGGGAAGTCACTCATTAGTTAGTTACTAGTACCAACTAGTCTAGTCCGCTTAGGGGAACCAGCTGACTGCGCCACAATAAATTACATGTGGCGCAGTTACACACAGGTATCAAGAATGTGGCTAGTGAGATGTGAGGGGGGTACGTAATGTCTGCTGGTGGTCGTGCTGGATCCTGCAATGACGTCGATGCGCGGCTCGCGTTCCAGATATTCAGGTCATTGTCGACGTTGTCGTCGTTGACTGGTTGTCGCACAATGTATCCCATGGTTTTAAAAAGCCGCCCGAAACCCTTTTGTCCAAAAATAAGGCGCTTACATCGGAGATCCTTTATCAAATCTTCGCAGACATACATACGTACGTCTGCTCCTGAGAGCTTGGCGGTTATATAGTCAGCCAAGCATCCCCTCCTGAAGAGGGTGCCTGATCGATCCGGCACATTCCAACGTCCCTTTTCTTTCTGCTTTTCTTAACAGAGACCTTTACTCCCCTTACTCTAAGTCCCTTCCATCATCTGATTCTGCCACCTCCTAAGCTATGTCGGCGCAACTTGCAAATCTAGTGGGCAAGAAGATTCTCGCAGAATCCGCCCGGAATCATTTTGGACAAGAGGTAAAACCCATTCCATTTTCTGAACCGTCCTACTGTGGCAAACTATGGGCTAAGACAGTGTGTTGTTGTAGGACCCCTATTTCGAAGAGGTTCCCGCGTCACGCTTGAATCGCGCCTTCGGGAAGAAAACACAAAAGCGACGCAAAGCAGTCCCTCCCGGCCTGTCGCAGAACGACAGCAAGGTTCTGACGCAAGTGAAAAGAAGAGCATATCGCTTGGACTTATGTCTCTTTAGCCTGTGTGGAATCCGATTTGGATGGGGAAGTGTTATAGGTCTATTCCCATTGTAAGTTGCAATCTCTGCAGATGGTGTTCAATACGAGACTCATGCAAGGAATCAAACAGTATTGGAGATGGAGCAGACGCAGCATTGGCTTTGATGGTGGTGCACACCTGTGACAAAATCGACGGGGGCCTCCCATCGCGGCTGCGAATGATGATGCTCATGAATATCGTGATCGACTTCTTTATCGGCCTGGTTCCTTTCATTGGTGACGTTGCTGATGCCGTGTACAAATGCAACACGCGGAATGCCGTGCTTCTGGAAAAGCATTTGCGGGAAAAAGGGGCCAAGGCGCTTGCCAAACAAGAGAGGAGGCAGGATACAGCGGATATGAGCTTGCCGGACGAGTTCGACCGCTATGACGACGATACTTCGGGTGAGCCATCTAGCCACAAAGGCCAGCCACACAGTAGGAACACTGATGGACCAGCGAAGCCTCAAGCAGCACGGGATCCCAAGAAAAGCCGCTCACAAGGCAGATGGTTCGGAGGAAGAGGGGCCCAACCAGAGGATGACCTTGAGACTGGAGTGATCGATAACTCCCGGCCCTCTCGGCGGCATTGATGATGTCACAGATAGATGCATTCAGGACAGTCAAAATAATAATGCCTACCCACAAACGCGGTATAGATGAATATGTGATTGAACCTTGATTTAACAGGTCAATTCGGGCTGGGACCGAGCACAGGCGTAGCAAAATTGAAGCTGTTCGTTGCCTTGTTCGCCCGTAATGTTTTCGTTCGTAGTCATGAAGGCCCCGCAGAAGTCGCACTGCAGCCCGCCTATAGATGTACCAGACGACTGGAGCTTACTGGCAGTCCTGGTCACGTTCAACATGACGCCGGGGTATTTCGCACCCTGAGTGCTGACATAACGGATCATCAGCTCATCGATCGACAAGTTCTTCGTGAGCATATTCTCCGAGGGAGGCTCATCTTGAACGATGATGCCAGCAAGCTCGGGAAAGAGGGTGGCATAGGTGCGTATCTCTGCCGTGAACACGTCCCGAAGCGGGAAGTTGAATTCTAGACCGAACGGCGACATTCCATCGCACACCTGCCACGTCACTGCAGAGCCGCGTCCCTTCGCAACGTTGGCGAGCGTCTTGGCGGCAAGCTTGCTGTCCGAGTCACCCCATACTATGCCACGGCATTCCATTTTCTTTGCGAAAGCAACGACGAGTTTGTTCAACAAGATTTGGTCGACATCGGACTTGGAAGTGGCTGATGAGATCGACCTGCGGAAGCGGGTTAAACGCTCCTCATCGGATAGAGAAGTGTCATCTGTGAAGTTCTCCCCAGCATACTGCGACATGATCTGATGGACATCCGGGTCAAGCTCGAAGATACTGTGGAAGGGGAGCCGGGTGAAGGAACAGAGTGGGAAGGTTTGCTGCGCAAGTGCAAAGCCTTCTTCGTGCGGAGGAACAGGGGAGATCGTCGAAGGCTCAACGACGAGGACGAGGATTTCAAAGCCCGCGGGGCCGTGTTTCTTTGAGCGTAGTACCTCCAGCTGCTGGTGCAGCATGTGCAAAAGCACGGTGGAGGAGACGCCGTACGAAAGGGGGAGCAGCAATTTGCAGGGACCGGTCTGTGGCATATTCCTCCGGAGACGATAACGTTCCATGCGCCTGAAGGGCTTGAAGTTCAAGAATCGAATATAACATTCTCTGAATGGAGGGGTAACTGAGATCAGTATGGACTAGAAGCGGCGACAGGTATACTATAGGGGAGACGAGACGTACTGGCACACGAAACGCTCGCGCAATGTAAAGGCCGGCTCGGCCTCATGGCAGTTCATGCAGCGATCAGGCAGCTCTTTTCCGGGCATTTTGGTGACTGTCAGGGGCGGAGTGCAAGACTGGGTTCATACAATAAAATTGTAGATAGTAATTAGTTTTCACGCGGGATGCCGGGTGGGGAGCGATTTTCGCCAGGCAGAATTTCTCGGCGGCGGGCAGAGCCACTGGCAGCACGGGCTTAGATAATACCCATGGGCGGGACCCCCGTCAACAACACGCGGCTTCCCCGGTTTCAGCAGTTCAAGCCACGCTTCGTGAGATCGTCGCAAACATCATTCGGTCACCCAACGCATCCGAGTCTTGCCGACTTCCCCTGAGAAGGCCACTCCCTCCGTTGAATTTGCCCTCAAATTGTACCTGGAGCTTCTTATGATCCAGGGCTGCAACTAAACCCTGCTCTCGGCGACTCCGGAGCTCCGTCCTACTGCCAGGCACCCTACCGCATAGCTCCTTTTTCATTGTCACAATGAGAGGCTGGCTTCGGACCCTTGGCTTAACTGCCTTACTGGCAGGAAGCGTGCTGGCAAATGAAGTTGAACTAGTGCGCATTGTCTTTCACCGTAATCTGTGATTTGATGCTGACATCTGTTTTTTCCGCGCAGACACAAGATGAAGCCCATCGACAGCGTTGTTCGGGAATGTATAGTCGCAAAGCTTGGGGTGGAAGTGTCGATCCCTTCATCTTGACCAAATTCGTCCAAGAACCCCAGTCTGGTGATAGCGATCCTCTCGTCAGTCTCGTCATATTCGAATGGTCCGATGAGAATCTCATCGGCCGGCCTGTTCCGGGTGACTCTGGGGTACCACCACCCTTCCCTGACCATGCTTATATTTGGATAGTCCAACTCACATATGCGGCTTTAGGAAAGGGAAACGATCTGTGACGAGGCTAGTGTGCAGGCGAACCTCTGTTCGGAAGACCAAGTCGGCTCTTTCATTCTTGCTTCGAATGTCACCGAGGCCTCCAAGTTTCCCGTCGTTACCAAAGCAGTTCACCTGAATGATCCCGCGGCCATCAATTATCCTATCAAAAAGACTGGATTTTATTGTGTCAGCACATACGGATACTCCGGCGTGGACTACAAGGCCGTGATTGAGTTCAGAAACTCATACGGTGAACTTCCAGCTGCGCAGATCGCAAAGCTCCCGTTCTATGGTGGCTTGACTATCGTCTACGCAGTTGTCGGTCTGTAAGTATTTTCTAATGTCGCTGAGTTCAGTCAGGGTGGGGCTTATACTCAATAGGTTCTGGGCATTCCTTTACGTGCAAAACCGTCACGATATCTGTAAGTACAGGCTTGTGGGTGTCCAGTGACTATCCGCTAATCGTCTATAGTGCCCGTTCAAAATTACATCACCGCGATCCTTGTTTTCCTCATTGTCGAGCAGTTGATGACTTGGGGCTTCTACGGTATGTCTAACGCTTTATACCACCAATGACCTCTGCTAACGCCCATTCAGACTATCAAAACCGCAACGGCTTAAACACCGGCGCAAAGGCATTGATGGTTATAGTTGCTGTGCTAAATGCGGGACGTAACGCTTTCTCGTTCTTCCTCCTGCTGATAGTGTGCATGGGCTATGGCGTTGTCAAGCCCTCGCTCGGTCGGACGATGATCTACGTTCGTATCCTTGCCATCACCCACTTCATCTTCGCTGTGATATATGCTGTCGCCAGTCTATCGATTACCCCGGACAGCGCCGGCCCGCTCGTCTTGCTCATCGTACTTCCTCTTGCTGGTACACTCACGGCATTCTACGTGTGGACGTTGAACTCCCTGAATGCGACAATGAAGGACCTTATCGACAGAAAGCAGAAGACGAAAGCCATGATGTACAAGAAGCTTTGGTGGTGCATTCTTGGTAGTATCGTCGTCATCTTCGGTTTCTTCTTTATCAACTCTATCGCCTTTGCAGGACGTAGCGAGGCCAGCTTCGTCCCCGAGCACTGGAAGTCCAGATGGTTTGTGCTGGATGGCTGGCTGAACCTGGTGTACTTCTTCGATATCGGATTCGTCGCCTATCTGTGGCGTCCTACTGCTAACAACAGACGGTTCGCTATGAGTGACGAGGTAAGCCTTGTTTGGAGCAAGTGTGCGAGAATGGAAGATAAGCTAACAACATGCTAGATTGCGCAAGACGACGACGGGTTCGAGATTCGTTCCTTCGGTAGTGCATTGGATGAAGAGGACGCTTTTGGTGGACCCGAAGAACCTTCCGGTTCGGAGCATCGTCGTGACCTGTCACCTGTGCCTCCCAAGCCTGTGCCTGCAGCCCCGCGTCAACGGGAGTCCCTGGACGGTGAGACTATCTTCGCTGTCGGCGAGGACGGGGACAAATGGTCTGACGACGAAGATGAATCGCCGCGCAACTCCGGGGAACGAGAGCGGCTTACTGGCAAGCACAAGGACTAAATGCGGCTTCCGAAGCCACACGTGCCCCGTCGTGGGCATTGACATCCTAAAATTGCAGGGCCAAAAAGTCATTCTCGCAATTGCTATTTGTCTACTGTCTTGACTGTCTTGACTGTCGGAGACATGCGGCTACGTTGCCATATTTCGGGGAAAATTGGAAGTGTTGGTATTCTTCATGTGTTAGTTGGCTTTGCAGGCATATGATGGCGTTCGGCCTATGGTGTATTCCCCGTTGTTCAGTGTTTCGTGTGTTTTCTGCTTCGAATGTAATGGAGGAGCGATATCTTTTCCTTTATTTTGTATAGATTCTCTACCATATGTAACTCCAGTTATGAAGCAATGTTTTCATTTCACTGATCATTATGCATGACGTCAGTAACTCTATCTCAGCATTCACACAAGCCTTAGTATCCCATGCCTATCCATTATCACTTGCACTGATCCTACAGTGAAGAACAACTTCCAGCTACGTTGGATCCCTCTAGATCATACGCTCATTTCATTTCAATCCTATTCATAATCTTATGACTGATCGAGCCCACTATAGAAACAGCTAGCTATGCCGGTGCTTCACCGTTTGAAGCAATTAAAATGGCCCTGAACGCCTCAAAATCCCTCAACCCTCAGTAACTACATGGAGTCATAAACAACGCGTACTACGATGTCGGTAGGTCGTCGCCATAGCTAAGTACAATTAACAAACCAAGAGAGCCCAGCAAAGCAAAACACAGCGAAGCCATGCAACAAAGTGAAAGTGTAAACGAGTGGTGCAGCCGCCTGCGAGTCATCATTGGCTCAAGTCCATTCTTCGGCCATGTTCTTGCTTCCAACATGTGCATCCCTCCCCAAGTGTCCCAGTCCCGGGCGTGTGTGGACCCAACTACTCAGCGTCTTCAGCGTCTATTCCCATGGCCCGGACGCCTACATGTTCCTGGTTCGGGCCGGGTAATCACTCAGGGTCCAGTTCGACCTGGCTGAGCTTAAGTCATACTACTGTTAACGTTAACTAGTGGTGACTTCCCGCACAAGCCCCATAGGGACAACTTCTCCATCCGCACGCGAGGGCCACCATGACGACCAGCCCGGCGCCGAGCATCGTCTCCAACAAGGCCTGCTTACCCAGTGCAGTGCCATGACTCACGAAAAATATCCGTCGGTTTCTATGATTCCATCTCTCCTAACACGACAATAACAACAACACTACCCCCACCATTCTTTTTTCCGCCCTTAACGAACGCAACCCACCCGCAATTCAACCCCGCCAGCTAGCTCAAGCAAAGACAACGTGAGCGACCACCCACCATGGCGCACCCCGAAAACCAAGTCGACGACGACGTCGCCTCTACTAGCGAGATCGAGATCTCCCCCTTCCGAGTCAGTCGAGAGCTCTCGGCTTCCCTCCTCGCGCGATGTCGATCCCTCCTCGCCGAGATTAGCTCGTTCCAGTCCCTTTTGGTGGAAACACAACGTAACCCCCAGATTGTGGAGGTGCGGTCGCTGAAGTCGAATGTGCTTTCGGAGTTGCGCACGTTGGAAAAATTAGGCGCGCAAGTGCAGAAATTGCCTGAGCCGACGAAGGGCGATGGCGATGGGGAGGATAATAATAATGATACCGATGCTAAAGCGACTGATGGTGATGACTCGGCGGCGAGAAGACTGGTTCATACGTTGAAGTCTTCGAATTTGCCGTTTTATGAGGCTGTTTGGGCCATTGCGAAGAATACGTGTCGCGGGTTGGTTGCTTTTGGGAAGAGGTTTTATTGGGGGGATGATACTGGTGATAATGGGGTTTTAGAGAAAAAGTCCGGGAGGGATAAGAAGAAGAGTGTGTTTGTGGATATTATTGCTGATGATGGGGAGGAGTGGGTGAAGGTGTCTACGGTTGCGGAGTCGAGGTTGTTGTTTGAGATGGCGGAGAAGGGGTGGGAGGCTGATTCTGAGAGTGAGGATGGGGAGGCTCGGACGGTTCTACGGAATCATGATGGGGATAATGGTCATGTGGAGGATGATGAGGATGAGGATGAGATTGAGCTGGTGAAGCTGGCTAAAGATTTGAGGACCGCGGCCAATGCTACGAGAGTCAGGTATAGACACCCTCGGCTGCGGTTTGTGGCGCCGAGGATTCGCGAGGGAAGCTGTGCGGAGATTGATGATCTTTTGAAGATTATTAGAGGCTATGGGATTAAAGTTGATTGTGGTGACAAGGCATATGCTGTGACTGGCACACAGGAGGGCTTGTCCCACCTCCTTCCGAAGCCGTTCAAACACTTCACTTCCACTGTTAATGTGGACTGTACATTGATGCTTGCCGCGGTCTCGGATCTCTCGCATTACAAACACATCACCCAGTCTCCGCAGCATCATAAAGCTATCAACCGACAGATCGCCGTTGAGCATGAGCGACCTCTGTTGCCCACGGAGCTGTGGCCGGCGATGGATGCTTATGAATTAGTATGTGTTGAGGAGGCTGCAACACGGATGAAAGAAATCGTCAATATCATCGGTACCGACACTGAAAGGTCGCGCATGGAGATTCTGCTCGGCGAGCCCCCTTACGATACATATAGCCGAGATGATCTCATCAAGAAATATCAGGAGCTGTCCGATTATGAGATACCGGCACACTGGAAGATTCCTGTCAAGACGGTCGAAGCGAAGTCGGTGATTGCATCTGCGAGAGATACTGCAAAATTGCCGCCCGTCTATCAGAAGGTGGCAGAGAACCTCTCCGATATCAACTATAGCGTGTTTCTGTACGGATGGGCAGCGGGACTGGCGACGATCTCCAGCAATCGGACCGTGGTCAAGGAGATTGAGTCCATTATCGAGAAGCACAGGGATGGAGATGACAGCTTGGAGGGACCTCTTATCTGGGTGTGTGATACTGCCAGGAGCTTGATAGGCAAAGAAAAGAATCGAAAGAACTAGACCAACTAGTTCGAAGACTAACGATAGATCGGACGACGACTAGAATGATCGAGCATTCAGAGTCGTCTACATCAGACAGCATTTCTTTCCAATTCTTGCAATTAGTGGTGTTTAGACCAGCAGAGCTCATAGCTGTTGTCGGGGTCGTCTCAGCAGCTGATGGGGACATGGTGGCTCGCTACTTTTCAGAAGATCTGGAAGGGTCCTCTGGAAGCCAGAAAACAGTCTCTTTGTCGGCAGACGCAATCATGTTGTACCTCGGATTGTATTCAACGATGGCAGTCCGTCCGCGATGTGATAGTCTAGTCATTGGCTGCAATAGACCGTTTGGCTCTGGAGGAGATTGTTGTAGATCCCACACTAGCATATCGGAATGATCTCCCGAACCACCAACCACGTATCGCCCGTCGGGTGAGAAGCACGCATCTCCCTGACCGAGAGGCTTCCCGGTTGTCGATACCGGTGCAGCTCTCCCGGGTGATCCGGCTTTGCCCACCAAGAAGGCCTTAACCGTGCCCTCGAAAGCATCGAGAATGAAATGTCCATGGTAGTCGGTTCCGACCAGCAAGTGCTTGCCATCATTGGAAAATTCCAGGCGAGTCCACCCTCTGCCTCGGGTAGAAGGCGTATAGCGTTCTTCGTACGGCGCAAGATCGAAACTGGAAAATGGAGCTTTGTCGTAGTTGCGGAGGTCGTAGAGAAGGACTGACGCGGTTGATTGGGAGGCAATGGCGATGACAGAGGCGGAGGGGTCGAAGGCCACAAGGTATGGAGTTGCGAGTTTCAGCTTTCCTTGCGCATTGCGAGAGCCGAGATCCCAGAGGGCAACTGTGTCGTCCTTAGAGCATGAGATGAAGGAGTCGCTGCCCGGAGACAGAGCCAAGCAGGTGACTTTGTCGGTGTGGCCCTGGAAGTAGCGAATGTAGCCTTCATTGTGAAGGTCTAACAAGCGCAAGGAATCTAGGTCGGTCAGAATAGGGGACAAGGATGGAGGTGCGTGGCAGCAGACATACCATCAACCTTGGTGCTCGCATGAAGGACCTGACGACTGTGGTGGGTGAACCTGGCTAGATGGGCGCCGTACTTTTTGCTGGGGACCGACTTTGTAGATTTGCCCTCCTTGATGTCGAAGACCTGGATAGTTTCATCATCGCCGGATGCCACCAAGTAATCACCCTGGTCATCAAAGTCTAGCGACGTCACATAATTGGAAGTATCCTGCTTGGGGCCTCGGAATGCCTATGATGGAAGAAACCGATAATTAGATGAGCGTCCCAGTCCACATGAGCCATTGGACTAACCTTGGTAGGACGGAAGCTACGAATGATATCCGAGACCTTCTGGCATTGCAGGATTGGCTGCTGAGGCTGTGGTTGCGCCGTCGGCTGTGCTTGACCTTCCGCCATAATTCTTTGACTTGACTAGATAGATAATGATAAAGTGCGATTGCGGGGAACAGGATGCAAGTTGTCAGGATGTCCACGATCTTTAAGCTAGCTTACAATCCAGACAGATCCTTTTGCTTCTACCCGGCTATTTCTCCGAGATTCCTCGACCTGCAAGGATTCCACCCAAACTGACCCGAGTAGAGAAGTAGTCAAGGTCGTCACTTGGGTGAAGCAGACGCGCCTGACGATGGATTTTGACGCGTTTGACCGACTTCCGCGGGATAATGTTGTTCCAGTCCGACGCTTACCATCGGCAGTGGAGATACCGATTGGCCGAGGTCGGAGGCTCTGGACTGCAAAGTGCGGATCTCGTGGCCAATGACTAACCAATTATCGGCTGCGGAAACCAATCCGAGCGGCGTTGGAACTGTCGGAGGGAGGCTTGAATGGCGGAGGGAATCTCACGGCATGAACACCTCAGCTCTGACACCGTTTTGACTTTCTGACAAGTCCTTCGCTCGCCCTACTCTTCCACTGCACCGTCACTGAGTCTGTCATCTTCCCCTCCTGGGGCATTCAGCATCGCTTCACGCAACAGCCAGGTCGTCTCTCGATTCTACCGGCGCCCTTGTCGGCCTCGCTTTTGCCCTTCCGCGCGCAGACTCGGTCCACTTCCCTCCGTTAGCGGAGACGAATCTGAATAGATACAATGTCCACAACAACAGGGTACGTGGTCGTGGTGCCTCCAAAACCATCAGATTACGGTCGCGTTAACGCATTCTATCGTTCTTCACAGAGCATTCATCGCTGGAGGTGTTGCAGCATGCGGAGCAGTGACGGTCACTCATAGCTTTGAGACGGTGAAGATTCGGTATAGTCTTCCTCCCCTATTTGGAGCGTCGCAGATTACTCCTCGCCAGCTGTGTCGCCGGATGCTAATTGGTATACTACGAAAGTCTGCAACTGCAGGGTGAACTGCAGGCCAAGCAGGACGCTGCCAAGAAATACCGGGGTGTCTTGCACGGTGTGAAGGTTATTCTACAAAACGAGGGTCCCCGCGGTCTTTTCCGGGGAATAGGATCGGCTGTACGTTCAAATCTCAGTGTCTGACGGTACTCGTATAGCTAACAGCCGCTGCAGTATATCTACCAAGTCCTGCTCAACGGTTGCCGTCTGGGTTTCTACGAACCGCTGCGCAAGGGTCTGGCAACCACGATATACCAGGATGCTCAAGTTCAGTCTCTGGGTGTTAATGTCGTCGCCGGTGCTGCGTCTGGTATCATCGGAGCTGCTGCGGGTTCGCCCTTTTTCCTGGTCAAGACTCGCCTGCAGTCGTTTTCCCCGTTCCTTCCCGTCGGCACCCAGCACAACTATAAGAACTCGTTTGATGGACTGCGGAAGATCCACTCGACGGAGGGAGTTTCTGGCTTATACCGTGGAGTTGGCGCGGCGATGGTACGGACTGGCTTTGGTAGTTCCGTTCAGCTGCCTACCTATTTCTTCGCCAAGCGCCGCCTGATGAAGCACCTGGGCATGGAAGATGGTCCAGGTCTGCACCTGGCCAGTAGCACGGCATCTGGCTTTGTCGTCTGCTGTGTTATGCACCCGCCTGGTATGTTCTACGCTTACGACACGACTGCACTCAGCTAACTTGTTGTTCAGACACCATTATGTCCAGAATGTACAACCAAACGGGCAACCTCTACAAGGGCGTGTTCGATTGCTTGTTCAAGACCATAAAAACGGAGGGTGTGTTGGCGATTTACAAGGGGTACTTTGCCCATCTTGCGCGTATTCTGCCTCACACGGTATGTGATGTTTGACACCCAGTCCCTTGGGCGATGCACTAACCTGGCTGTAGATCTTGACCCTCAGCTTGGCTGAGCAGACCAACAAAGTCATGCGCAGACTGGAGGATCGGTTCCTGTCTGACTCGTTGAAGGAGAACTTGTAGTCACCGTAGTATAATAGCGACATTGGCATACCCCCCTGATACTTTGCGACACATATAGAGACGTTTCGGGACATGGTTTTGGTTTTGCATTGTTGAGCAGCAGCAGCAGCAGCAGCATGGCTAGCATCGCGTGATGTGTATGTACATAGGGCGTTCTGTCTTGGGTCGTCATGCTGTGCTCTTAGATTTGGAGATACATTTGGATAAAAAGCTTGAATAGATTTGGAATTGGCCATGCGCAGTACTTGCCTGGTATCGGAGTACTATATGTGGTGCAATTTTCAAGAAGCTTTAGGAAAGTCCTGTCGCATGATGAAGAAAAATGCGGACGCGCGAGAACCTCACCGGACACAATATGGGGAAATGAACAGTTAATGAGGGTCGAACTAGACGAGCCGCGCAAGACAGGAAGTGGATACAATGGAGCTTTATAAAAGGAATTGGGGCAAGCAACTACGCGCACTAGTCAGTGGTTCCATGTTGAATCAAGCTAAGAATGATGATGATTGCATTGCTTTCTTCCGTCGGATGCATGAGCTCGGGATCAGACGCCTCGTGTTTGGTGCCGATGGAACTGTCCATACACGATCCAAAGCCGGGAATGTAAACAACAAAAGAGTTCGTCAACGATGTCAAAGAAGACCCTTGCGACGATGTCACTCTTTTATTGGGCATTCAAAGAAAATGGAAACTTTGTCTATGATCAATGTTGCAGCACGCTTCCGACGCGTCGCAGCTGTAACGTCATCACCGACAGCAAAGACAGGCTGAAAGCCCCCCACTGGGGCCCAGCTGAAGCCAGCTGAATCTAGAATCAAAGCGGGAAAGAGAAGCAAGGATCCTTCTTCTTATTAGGGTCAAAACATCCGTAAATCCGTGGGTGGGTGCAGGCAGCTGCCCAATGTGGATGGGGGGAAGCAAGACGCGACGCGTTCAGCACAGACGCTGTTGCTTCTTGACCGTCGGAGTAACCCAACTCGGGGGTCGGCGATCCAAAATTTCTGTTCAGCTCGGATTAAACCGAGTGGAGATGGCGGATGAGCTCGGCTTATTGATGATGTCGTAAAGAGTACCTAAGCAGCTGCAGGGACTGGTAAGACTGTAAGGTACGGTATACTATAGGTGGGTTGGGAGATGGAGACATGAGACAAGTATCATTTATCCAATGATTGGTGTAAATGTATAATGAGAGATGTGAAATCTTATATGATAACTACGTATTACTGAAAAGGGATAGAGGGAGAGATAGTTGAATGGATTGACAGAATCGATCGAGGGGCTCTAAGATGGGGAGTTCAATCTGATAAGATAGCAGCTGGTTACGAGACGCGACTACTTTTTCACACTAGAGCCTCTAGGTAATCATAGGCATCGACGTGCTCCGGACTTGTCTCCAGGCATCCGCCTCTTCAGGAATGTGGAGAGAGGACAATTTAGGAAACTTGCTGCAGGTCTTGCAGCTAATGATACAGGAATAATGGATCAGTGGAGATCGAAACACCGGATGAGAATCCAGCCGGTGGTGTGAGGATGGAGTCTGACAAGAGTTCCGACGTGATGGACGCGCCGAACATCAACAACCCGCCCGGATCAATAGTTGTTCCCGCCAGCCACCGGGTCCAAAGTCGCGCCAAGTCACGTGCGACGTGACTCGCCCGTCGCGCTAAGGATCACGTCTCTCGTCTGCCGGCGAGTATTTCTTGTCGCCTCGCCCTCCCTCGCTGCAGCTCTTTTTCTTCACATCCCACCACCAGCTCAGTTTATTGGAGTGTTTTTCTGTGTCTGTGTGATCAATTCCTCTTTCACTTTTATCTCCTTCATCTACACACAATCAACACCATGTCTGTACAACTCACTCCCTCCAAGCAGGTATGTGATGTCACGTCTCTCGCCTCCCACCGTCGACGCGTAATTACAGGCAGATAAGCTAACACGCGTTGCTTTCATAGGCTGCTTCATCCCTCGAGAACCTCAAGATGAGCGATTCGCCTGTTAAGAAGCTCAACTTCGGTGGCAAGGAGAACGCGCCTGCTGCCGTTGACGTGACCGCCGACAAGCCCATCGAGAAGCCCGTCGAAGCCCCCAAGGTCGCGCCCAGCATCAAGGAGATGGAGGCCAACGAGCCTCTGCTCCAAGAGAACCCTCACCGTTTCGTCCTTTTCCCCATCAAGTACCACGAGGTGAGTGACACACGCGTTACGCGTTACGCGTAAAGTGGAATTTTTCGCTTCCCGCCCGCGACAATTGGCATGTGCGCTAACGCCGCATTCTCGCACCCGACAGATCTGGCAGATGTACAAGAAGGCCGAGGCCTCTTTCTGGACCGCCGAGGAAATTGATCTTTCCAAGGATTTGCACGACTGGCACAACCGCCTGAACGACGACGAGCGCTACTTCATCTCCCACGTTCTCGCGTTCTTCGCTGCCTCTGATGGCATTGTCAACGAGAACCTCGTCGAGCGCTTCAGCGGCGAGGTCCAGGTTCCCGAGGCTCGTTGCTTCTACGGTTTCCAGATCATGATGGAGAACATCCACTCCGAGACCTACTCTCTCCTCATCGACACCTACATCAAGGAGCCCAAGCAGCGCACCTACCTCTTCGACGCTATTGATACCAGTATGTACCCCAAACTGGGATTGTGATTGGTCAATGGATGCTAACCCCTGCAGTCCCCTGCATTGCCAAGAAGGCCGATTGGGCCATCAAGTGGATCCAGGACAGGGAATCTACCTTCGCCCAGCGTCTCGTTGCTTTCGCTGCCGTGGAGGGTATCTTCTTCTCCGGTTCTTTCGCTTCCATCTTCTGGCTCAAGAAGCGTGGTCTCATGCCTGGTCTGACCTTCTCCAACGAGCTCATCTCTCGTGATGAGGGTCTGCACACCGACTTCGCCTGCCTGTTGTTCTCCCACCTGAACAACCGCCCCAGTAAGCAGGTTGTTGAGGACATCATCGTCGAGGCTGTCGGCATTGAGCAGGAGTTCCTGACTGACGCTCTGCCCTGTGCTCTGCTGGGCATGAACTCCAAGCTGATGTGCCAGTACATCGAGTTCGTCGCGGACCGCCTGCTGGTGGCCCTCGGCAACAAGAAGTATTACAACGCCACCAACCCCTTCGACTTCATGGAGTCGATCTCGCTGGCGGGTAAGACCAACTTCTTCGAGAAGCGGGTGGGTGACTACCAGAAGGCTGGTGTCATGGCCAGCACGAAGAAGGAAGAGGAGCCCAAGACCAACGGTAACGGTCTCAGCTTCGATGAGGACTTCTAAACATCGCAACAAAATGATGCCACTATACCCGGTTGTTGGCACCAGCCACGATATGTTTGATTCTGGGTGTTTACGAGGATATTTGACTATACGCATGGGATTGGCGTTGATTGGATGGGAATTGATTCCTTTTTCTTATAATTGTTAATGTTTGACTCTTGTATTTAGAGAAATGTACATTGGATATTACTTTACGGTTTAAATATGCATGTAGCATGTCTATAGCGTAATGTCCCAACCATAAGTGCAGTTACCGAATGCACCGACCAGATAAAGACGGTTGGCTACTATCTCGCAGCTGCATGATCAACCATGTAACCTCACAATGCTAAAGCCTTATATGAATATGCACATTTTTTAAGAAACAAGATATCATCGACAGAAAGAAAGAGACAAATAAATATATCACCTCTTCCCCTTCCCCCCCCTCTTCTTCCCTTTCCCTCCCTTCCCAGCTGCACCAGCATTACCCCCCTCCCCAGCTACCGTCTGTCCCTCAGCAGCAACAGCAGGAGCATCCCCCATCTCCACATCCCCAGCACCACCAGCAGGAGCAGGATTACTCAACCCCAACCCCTCAACATCAGCCCCCGCCGCCAACTTCCCCAACGAGGTAATCAACCGTCCCACCTCAGCGCCCTTGTTCGTACGGTATTTCAAACAGATGCCGGATCCCGGGTGATAGGTCTTGAGTTCGAGGACGGCGATGCGGGGTTTGGGGTCGGTTTCTTCTGTAGATGTGGGTTGTGTTGTCGAGGGTTTTGTGGATGTGGATGTGCGGGGGAAGGTGTATTTTGTTGTGATTCTCTATACAGGGGGGTCTTTTGTTAGTTATTGTTTAGGTGATAGGTAGTAGGGGTGGGGGGAGAGGGAGGGTGTACCGTGTCTGGGTAGGCTTGGAGGAGGAGAGAGGATTGTTCGAGGTAGGATTGTGACGTTGGGAGGTAGGGCATTTTGGTGGTGGAGGTCCCTCTGGTCGAGGAGGTATGGATATGAGATGTTTGGTGTGAGGTTTAGAATTTGGGAATGGGAGAGGGGATTGGTGGTGTAGAGGTGAACTGGGTTGGTGATGTGAAGCTGGATTATTTCTGGTGTTTTGCGGGCGCCGCTCGGAGGTGGGAAGTTGAAGTTGGTGGTTAGGTGGTGCTTGAGCTAGCGGGCGGTGTGTGGTGCCGCAGTCGATTGACAGCTCGAACTCCCATACTATGCTACAGCTCGGCAAACTACTCTAATATCTACAACTCTAATAACTGATTCTGGTCAATTCATCGTTATTCATCAATCGTCCCTCGTATAGATGCCTACTGTTATCCTGTAGGCTATTGTACATACATACACAGCTAATTACATGCTCATATACATCAATCATCCTATGTCCAAGCTCTCGTCCTTAGCCAACATCATATACACTGTGCATCAGCTAATAGGTCGTGCGCATCGCACACACACTAGTCGCTGCTTCCCATTTCTTGCTTTGGTCGCTCGGAAATTCGTTCCCCGGCAATTATCGCACTTCAACACTTCGCCGTCGTCCCCGTCCCCGTTCGACGATGCATAGTCGCTGCTCAGCGCGCTGCCCAGGCTCATTTGGCGCTCCCCCGGCACCGACAGTCGATGCGGAGTGAGGAGTCCGTTACCCTCAGTTCGTTTGCGATTCTGCACCGTCATTGCATCATGCGCAATTTTATTGTAGAATGCGTAGCTCTGCTCCCCTTGCAACCAGAGCGGGTTATCTTTGTCACCGCCCTTGGGGAACCAGGTGGTCCCGGCGACGGGCTGCCTGCTGTCCACTGCAGCACCGTTGTGCCCATTCCGGGTGGTGTCTGCGCTGGATCGTCGGCTGTCCATGGAATTTTTATAAGCGGAGGGCGGAGGGGAAGTGGTATAGATAGAGCGTGAATCGGGTCGTGCTCCTGTCGAGACTCGTCCCGGGCTGGCGTAGCCCGGCAGAGTGTCGCGCACTGGCTTGTGGGGAGACGGGCTGCGGGTGCGCGGCGTGCGCATGCCGGAGCGGTTGCCATGTCGGATAACAGAGTTGCGCCACGAAATGATGCGCTCCGACGGCGTCGTCTTCATTGAATCCTTGCCGATGGAGGAGGCAATGCTGTGGCGCGCCGAATTGGTGCGTCGTAGGATGCGTCGTGATATCGTGGAATGCGTGTCCCAGCTGTCGTAGCGCCGTTTCAGGTAGGCACAGTCTTGTCGCAAGACTTTAATCTTCCCGGCATAGTCTGCCACGATGAGGATGTTCCCGTCCGGGTGCGTGGACCGCGACATGAACGTCGGAGACTCTTGCGCCAGCTTACTAGCCGCCGACATGCGGTTTGCTCGTCCATTCTCCTTGTCCGCCTGACTGACGAGCGTCACAGGAGGCGGATTGCAGATATCATAAATGGGATCCTCGGAAAATCCCAAGACCTGTTTGGCGCGGGTGGGCGCCATGATGGCGGCCGTCACCAGGGCGGATTGCGTGTCAAAGATCTCCACGGCCCGTTTGTCGGCGTCTTTCTCCACGGGCCCCACCGGCCAGACATAGGTGCGGCGATCCTCACTGCCGCAGATGATGTGTTTGCCGTCATTGCTGAAGGAGGCGCGGATCTGGCTGCACGTGTTCTCGTTGCCTCGGTATTTGGCCTCCAGCGTCCGGTCGCGAAAGTTGTAGAGTCGAATGCGGGAGTCGTTGCTGGTGATCAGCAGTTTGACCTCGCCGTGCGGGTCGCCATGCGGCAACGACATGGTGTCGATTCCGGTGATTTTGCTGCCCTTGGCGTTGCGACCGCGAGCAGAGCGCACGTGAATCTGTCCAACCGCCTTGAGGCCGTCGGTCTCGTAGATATTGCACAGTCCGTTCAGACTGCCCGAGATCGAATGTCGTCCGTCCGGTGTAAATGCCACCGCGGTTATCATGTCGGGGACCGTGGCCACGAAAGCCACGCTCTTGTCGGGAATACTCCACAGTCGCAGTTTCGTATCCAGCGATCCCGCTAGGAAGAACCGGTCATCGCGTGGGTGGAATTGGATGGAGGTGACGAAATCGCTGTGTTGGAAGCAGCAGAGACACTCGGGTCGGCTAACATGCCACAGCCGGACGGTCTTGTCCATGGAGGAGGAAAGCAGGAAATTGTTCTGTCGCCCGCATTAGTGGATGCTACGCATTGCACCGCCTATAGTCAGTTTTCATGGTACCTTGCTCCAGCTGAGGTCCAGGATACTGCCGGTATGGCCCTCGTACACCTGGACCGGTTGCATTTTGAACACTTGCGCGTTGAGTCGTGGCGCATCGTCGTCACTGCCCGGCTCACTGGAGGTCCGATCCTCTGGCGACGCCACGACTTGCCAGACGCGCACCTTGCGGTCCTGCCCGGCGGCAGCCATGTATTTGCCATCATTGGAGAACACCAGCGCCCAGATCGCCTTGCCCGTATACTTTTCGTTCTGCGGGCCTGCCGTGGAGATGGCGTCATGGTCCGAGACGCTGGCCGAGTCGTCAGCGCCGTCCAGCTCCTGAGCCAGAAACACCCGGTTAAACGTCTTCTCCTTCTTGTAGTGTGCGCGCACGCGGATGTACTTTGGCGGGGGAGGAAATCGTGGTACGAAGCCTATGGGCTGAGCGGCAGCGTCGGGATCCATGCGGCTAGTTTCGGGCTCGGAGACATCGTCCTCGTCGTCCGGGAACTCGGTCTTCTTCTTGCCGGGGATGATTCGACTCAGGAAGGATACCCCTTTCCTATGAGGGAAGCCCACCGAATTAGCTGTAGGTTCCTGGGCAGGAACTGCATGGGATAAGAAGCAACGGAGCGACGGGTGACACAGTGCGGGGTCACGCCGTCAGCCGGGGCTGAGAGGGAAACATTGGCTGACTCGGCACCGGGCGAGGCCAACTGGCACTTACTTCTTCTCCCTCGGAGCCTTCGTATACATCACGGTCTCTCCGCGGGCAGAGCCATGGTCCAACGAGGCGCGTGGATCGCTTCCACCCAGCTCCGCCTCGGTGGAGGCTCTCCCTAACAGCTTCAAAGGAATGGTTTTTTGGGTGTTGGTTCGTTTGATGATATGCTATCGCGACGCACAGAGTCAATCAACCGCTGAGGCGAATTCCAGAGGCACAAAAGACACAGTATGAGCCTTACTTGAGATAGGGGATCGATGGCGCTGGAGTCGGCGCTGGACTGGACAAAGGTAGGGGAGGAGGCGAGATTCTTGACGGAGCCGTTGCTGGCGGCCGGAAGGGTGCGGGAATCCTTTCTGGCATGCTGTTGGTATCCGTTCGACGCAGCGGTCACATCGGAGGCGGAGCCTGCACAGGATAATCCCCCGGGCGGAGGAAGAGTAAGCCAACGATGCTCACAATTGTGGATTGATGGATTGGGTCCGGTCGGAGGGTATGGAAAGAAGATGACTGGCCAGCGCGACCGGGGCGAGCCTTGCGGGAGGTAGGGGAAGGAAGTTCAAGTAGCAGCAGTAGTTATGGTTGTAATTGGGACGTACCGATCGGAAAACTTTGCGAGGAGCGGAGGAGACTGGGATTGGGAGAACTGGGACTGTGATCGCCGCGATTGAAGATGGTAGGACTATTGGAGGCGGAGGTGGACAGATCGTGGTGAATGATGCTGGACGACGAGGCGTTGGTGGTGATGATGGCAGGCACGGTCGAGGCCCGCGATGGCCCTTCTTGTTGCTCGTCGCGCATTCCCTCCGCCATGGCTCGGGTGTCGCCGGGAATGGCGCATGGGAAGTGAGTTGGTTGGAAGTCAGACTGAGGGAGGACAAAGAAGGTGGGTGTGTGGTTGTCGAAGTAACAAGGTATCTCTCGAGATAAGGATACGAGAGAGAGAAGTACAAGAGAGAAAGATGAGGGAGAGGGAAGAAAGAGCCAGATTGCGGCGGAGGACGCGGAGGAGATGGAATGGGGATGGGATGGGATTAAGGATGGAGATGGAGAATACTAGTAATTCAGATGGAGACACACTAACTCGGACACCGGTTATTAATATCCGAGAATATCCACTTAGGAAAGATGACATCAAGCAGGGTCTGGAAGTTGGTTCCATTCCCACTCCCACTTGGTATTCACTCCTACTAATTGTTTCAGGTGACGGAGAGCAAAATGACGGAAACCCTGGGTCGGATGGGAGGGCCGGTCTGTGGTTCTTGTCGAAGGTCTGTGCGAGTTTGTTTTGTTGGAAAAGGAAAAGAGAAAAAAAAAGCCCGTTGGATGCATGCATCATCTTCAAAGCTTGACTTTTTATCCAATCTGCATTCTGGTGGATAGAGTCAGTGATACAGTGGTTATTATATGATAGGTCTTGTCGCTGTATACTAACTTGGGGATAAAACCCATCATGGATGAATCCCTTCCTCCTGCCCACATGGCTGACACATGGCTGGCAGTGATGTAACCAACCACTCTATTCTTATCAAGCCTGCGTATGTACTTATGGGTATAAATAGTAGTTACTAGATACTAGTTAACTAGTGACTAAGTAGTAGTCAAATACGAACTCAGTCCAACTGAGTCAGAGGTGTTTGTTCTTCCCCCCCATCCAGCCAAGCTTAATCCACAACTGGCCAATGAAGGCAAAGCCGTTGGTCGCACTGCTCGGCTGGCCTTCCTGGACTGAGTCGTTGGGGGTTAAAATCAGAAAGTATCTCGGATTCCTCCACCAATCGCTACTTTTTTCTTTCTGCTTCTTTCTCCCATCTCAGGGTCTGGTCTTAAACTTTCTCGGGGTTGCAGTCGCATCGCATGCGTCCTTCTACTACTACTCCTTCCTGAAGTTTAATATTATCATTATCACACCCGACTATAACACCCGAGTGGCTATGAGTTTTTCCCATGATTCGTTTTGCTCCATCGTCTATCTACTAATCAGAGCTTACACAATCAAACCCCCACGTGCTTCATGATACATGGAAAGAATAAGATCGGAATCAGTTGCACCAACAATCCCCACCATCAATCAGATGGTGGCCCACTTGCGCTTTATGCTTCCTCCACCATCGCCAACTCCGACTTTCCCCGTTCTTGTATCGCTTGCACTTCGATTTCCTCGTCCTCCTTCTTTGCATACGCTACCTGATAAACCGTGTACCACGGCCTTCGGAACAGTCCATCCAGTGCCTCGAGCGATCGGCCCGTCGTGTCCTGTGTGCTGTCAGTTTCCCCCGTCGTTTGTCTCTCACTACCCTCCACCGTCACCCAAGGAGTTAATTCACTTACCGGCATCGCAAAAAACACATACACCAGCGAGACAAGGCAGATGCCCGCAAAGAATGCAAAGGCTCCCCATTCCTCCATTACGTCCAGTAAGTCAGGCGTCGCCCGCGTGCACCCAAACGCGAACAGCCAGTGCCCCGCCATCCCCATCGACAAGGCCAGCGATCGGATTCGGATGGGAAAGATTTCCGATCCGATCAGAAAGGGCATCGAGAACCATCCGATCACCCACCCAACCCCGTGCACAAAGATGGCTGCAATCGCTGCTCTCGAGGCATGTGTCGCGCTGGCCGCGTGGAGGATGGTCGTCGTCGACATCTGTCGCGAAATTCCCAGGTAACAAGCAAGATATGCCAGCGTCACGATCTGAAGGGTGATTCCCGCCATAAGAGACCGTCGTCGGCCTACAAAGTCCACCACTACGAGTGAGAAGATCAGCAAGGCGGTAAACTTGACCACGGCATAGAGGGCCGTGGTCAGGGACAAGGCATCCCCGGTCGTCCCCAGATAGCCTAAGATCGTGGGCAAGTACTGCGTGATGGCGTTGCCTCCGGACCATTGCGAAAACAGATGTGCCAGCATCACTAGACAGAACCGACGCCGGTTCTCCACCGGGACTACCGTCTCCTTGATTAGGTGCCATTGTGATGTGCCCGAGGCCGCTTCTCGCTCCTGCAGGATCTGAAATTCCATGACAGCAATCTCTGCGACTACAGTTGGGTGACTCGAGGGCAAATGACGCAGCTTAGCCAGTACCGATACGGCCTGGGTTCGCCTACCCACGTACAGCAGCCACCGGGGAGATTCTTCACAGACCAAGAGTCCCAGGCCCCAGACTGCGGCAGGGACCAGTTGGATCAAGGTTGGGAACATCCACTGCATATCTGTTCCATCGTAGTTCTTGGTAATACCATAGTTGATGAAGAATCCAAAAACAACCCCCAGTTGCTGACATGCGGCAAATTGGACTGCGAGCAGCCCGCGGATGGTCTTAGGGGCAACCTGCAATACAGTCAGTCTGTCCCAGTCCCCTTTCAAGTATCATTTGCGTACCTCGGAGATATACATCGGAGGGGTCACAGTCAAGCCGCCCACCCCAAGACCCGCGATCAGTCTCGATGCGTATAGTCCGGACAGGTTCCCATTACAGAGACCCTGTCCCAACACTCCAGAGATATATACTAGGGTCGACAGTCGCATCGTCCACCGCCGCCCAATTCGATCATTGAAGGGTAAACACTACAGTAGCTGTCAGCCCGACATATATTCATTTCCTGAGTAGATAGCTTACTAGCAGACAGCCCAGAGTCATTCCAGCCGTGAAAATGGACACAATCCAACCTTTGGTATTGGCATATTCGTCAGGGGATTGCTGGCCGAGCCCGAATTTGATCCGAAACCGAGATTGCACGACCAGCGATGCGATGTTCGCTGCGAAGATCAGCACCCTGCATGACATATGATCTTCACTCTCTACCTTCATCGAACCCCCTACTGATTCCAGACAGTGCGAAAATGGCAATGTTCATCAACAAGTACCAGTTAAAGACCCCCCGGGGGGAATCCCGGATGGCCTGTCGGGTTTCCGCAACGAGCCACATGGTTGAATTCAATTCAATTCATCCCGTGAGGGGCCCCATTAGAGAGCTTATATACCCAACCGGAGCCACTCAGTATGGCCGTCTCTGCGGCAAAATCGCGCAGGGCCGTGGTGTGGCGGAAAATATCTCATGACCCCTCCAGCAACGATTCGAAGTAAGGAGCACTCCCTCACGGAGGCCATCGTGCGTTTGGTATGTGCTATAGCCGAGTTTACCAAGGTCTAGACGGCACTGGGCTGGTTTGACAGGTTCTTATCGGCGAACAAGATCGGGCCTCCGCATTCCATGGGTGCCTTGTGCGACCTGGAAATGCACCATAGGGGATATAATAGTTGATACAGCATGGTGTTACATCGCAAGTTCGAGTCTGAGTTGCATCCTGAGCCAGTCCAACTGGAAATAACGGTCTCTTACAGGCTTCTGCCAGTGCTGTTGTTGCGTTATATGCTGGAAAACCCTGTCCTCCCTGCCGCGGACGCAAGGGTCAGAAGTGCTTGGTGTAGAAGTGGAGTGCCAACCGGGTTTTTTAAGATCACAAATCCGGCTACCACTAGCTATCGGCCGGTAACAGCCGATAACAGCCTCCATGACTGAGATGTTTGAAGCTTGATTTCTCGTCTACGGTAACGGATGTGTTGCATGAACATCCCCTGCCCACCTGATACCTCGGCTAGAAGAGGACATCTAACACAGACATTCCTGGTAGATTCGAAATTCAATAGCGTCACGACCGTCTCTGTTGATGTAATTAACCTGCAGTTGCATATCACTTAGCATCTGGCACGTTGAAATTCCGTGATCGACCGGTAGTCTATTCTTAGCCGTCGGCGCTTACCCACGCTTCCCCGGTTGTCGATCCATCGTCAATCCCTCAACCCTCTTCTACCTCTGTCTACACACCCATTAGTCTACAATCTCACCACCATGTCCCCTCCAATCACCAAAACTGCTCCTCCACCTCCACCTCCACCCCCATCAGACCCCCGCACGAAAGTATCCCCAGTCATACGAAATCTCCGAACCGTCCCGCCCCGCTCCCTCGCCGTCCGCCAACCACCTCCCCCACCCACAACAACAGCCCCAACAGGTCCATACTTCCTCTACGGCACGTTGATGGACCCTTCCATGCTACAAGACATCCTATCCCTGGACCCAGACCAGAAGATAGATCTACGACCTGCATATGTATCAGGCTACGCCTGTAAACTGTGGGGACAGTACCCGGCTCTAATATCGGATGATAATTCTTCCTCGGTAGTCGAGGGGGTCGTGTATCGTGTGGAGTCTGTGGAGGACGGTGTGAAGCTAGCGAATTATGAGACGGGATGGTATCGCGCTGAGGCTTGTGAGGTTGTGTATACGGATGGAAAAGAGCCTGGGAGGGAGAACGGACATGTGTTTGTGTTTGTTGGGGATGAAGGGGAGTTGAGTGATGGGGTGTTTGATCTTAGGGTCTGGTTGGGGAGGATGGGGAGGAGGGGGGCGTTGGAGAGGTTGGGTAAACTGGATAGGGAGTGAGTCCGTTGTCTATACCTGATATCAGTATCTGAAGCAGTGTCGATCGTAGTATCTTATTGCGACTAGTCGATAGTACACTCGTACACCTCGTCCTCATGGTACGAAGATGTTTGAGCTAGACTTTATAGAGGATTTGGGCCCTTTCATGAATGTAGGTACCTTACATATTCCTGATAGCGTATCTCGACATTCGAAATCAAATTCTAGTTTACACTTCAGTTATATACATTAGTCAATTGCACATCACAGCAGCGACTTAGCAGGCGCAGCTGCCGCCAACAAAGGCACCAGATCAGGATCACCCTTCTCCATAGCCCTCTTGTACGCCGGACGCTGTCCGATACGCTCTAAGTAGCGCACAATATGAGGATACTCCTCAAGGCTGTAGGGAACGAACAGCCGCAGCGTCGTCAAGTGGAAGACAGACACGCAGTCTGCCGCGGTGAACTCCTCTCCAGCCAAGTATGCGTTCTTGGCTAGTTGCTGCTCCATCGCCTCACAGGTGGCTTTCACCCGTGATTCGGACATCTTGTAGACAAAGTCCTCTTCGGATGGGGTACCGCGGATCCGACTGAACAGCATCCCCATGAAGGATGGCATTGTCGATCCCTGTGCCCGGTGCAGCCAGAAGACGTAGTCTGCGTACTTGGGGTGGTCTGGGGATAGAACTAGACGGCCCTTGCCGTATTTGGTCAGGATGTATTCGATGATGGCCATGGTTTCGCCTAAGGCGACGCCGTTGTCTTCAATGATGGGGGCAGTGCCGGACCAGTGGAGCTTGCGGTACTCATCGGGGGCTTGGAGAGTGGGCGGTTGGCGGTTGTAGCATTTCAGAGTGTAGGGAATCTCGAGCTCCTCGCAGAGCCAGGTGATTCTCTCGGATTGCGAGAGACGAAGATGATGGATTGTGAGACCGGACATGGTTGGAATGGTGGTGTTTATGCGCTAGAGTTTGGATAGACAAAGGCCGGGATACCGAAGGCTGGGGATCCGAGAATGGGTTCCATTCGTATTTATCTACAACATGGGGACCCTCGTTGATCGGAGGCCGGATGTTCTTGATTAGTGTTAAGCTCCGGTCGGATTGCCTGTTGCCGAATATCAGGCCAGAAACATGGGACAAAAGTGGATCCAACTGAATGATTGAGGATTTATGCATAAAGCAAGTTCCACATCTTTATGCCGTCTCTTTATCACCGGGATAGTAATCCCGGATCATCATTGATCAATGTAGCTTGCTTAATAGATGATTGTATCTGCCCATTATCAAGTCATCACTTAGCAACTCATCATCATCTCCATGTTCTATGCGAGTTGCTAGCCCACTGCGGTCTCCGTGGGGTGGGTGGACGGGCAGCACAGGAGCATACTCGAATGGTCTGTACTCTGAGCAGAGTGAAGCTGAAGATTAGGTAGTCGATGAAATAGACATTCCTCTGCTATTCTGGCCTGAGCCTTCCTGATAAATGGCATGGGGAAAGTTGGTGACTTCATCAGATGCCCTGGGTGCACAAGAAGCAAAAGGAAGGAATAAGCATCGGGCTTGATCTCAAGGCCGATCGGGTGGCGCTTTAGTCATCTCGGGGCTTTGAGCCACTCCGATCGAGGAACTTTCTTTGAGACAACCAGTCGATCACAGAACTGATCTGTCAATCTAGGAGATTGATAAGACCGAAACCCGAGAGGCTGATTTAATCATTCAAGATCACGCTGTTGAAAACGCGAAGATGGTCCTGGAAGGCATTAGGTTACATCATGTCGTATTTGTCTACTTCTCCTACCTCAGTATTTATATATCTCCATAGAAGCTGCACCTAACTCGACATCAATTCATCATCATCATCATCATCATCATCATCCAATACTTGACAATACTTAGTACTAGTATCACTAGAGTTACACGCATCGACCAACTCACACATTCACCACCATGAACGCGGTACTGATAACAGGCGCGACCGGCAAACAGGGAGGCTCTCTCATCCGAAACCTCATCTCCCGGAAATCTCCCTTGGAGATCTTGGCCGTCACGCGAGACTCCTCTTCTGCTTCAGCTCAACGGTTGAAACAGCTGTCTTCCAAGATCAAACTAGTAGAATGCAACTTGGACAACCCGGCAGACATCTTTCGCAATGCACGCGCTCAGACATCGTCTCCGATTTGGGGTGTCTTTAGTGTTCAGGTAGGTTTCCTCCGCTCTTTCAATCTTCATCCCAGCAATGAGATACTAACAGTATCTGCTAGGTGGCCATCGGCAGCAACATCGATGAGGAAGCACAAGGAAAGAAACTGATCGATGAGGCCCTCAAGCAGAAAGTCAAGTACTTCGTCTACAGCTCCGTGGATCGTGGCGGGGAACGTTCCTGGAACAATCCGACCGATGTTCCTCACTTTCTGAGGAAGCATCACATCGAGCATCATCTGGTGGAAAAAGCTAAAGGAACCGACATGGAATGGGTTATTCTGCGCCCCGTGGCGTTCATGGATAACATGGTCCCCGGTTTCCTGGGCAAGGTCTTTGCGACGTCCTGGAAGATGGCACTGAAGGGGAAGCCCCTTCAGGTGGTTGCTGTCAGTGACATTGGTCACTTTGGCGCAGAAGCTTTTCTCAACCCGGATGAGTACAAGGGTCGGGCGATCTCGTTGGCAGGAGATGATTTGACATTCGATCAGATGGCACAGGTATTTCAGCAGAAGACCGGTCAGCAGCTACCCATGACATTCCAGTTCGTGTGTTCCTTGCTGCTGGCCGCTATCAAGGATATGGGATATATGTACAGATGGTTTCATGACGAAGGTTATCAGGTTAATATCGGCGAGTTGAGGAAGAAGCACCCGGGATTGAAGAACTTTGGGGATTGGCTTGCACAGGAGAGTGATTTTGTCAAGCGATAGATCATGCTGGTGCCTATTTTCGGTTTTACGGGATATTTTAATGCTTAATGCTGTTTGTTTTTAATCATGCTCTTGATTTGAGCAATCTAATCCTGTCAAGTATTCAATATAGTTGGTTTCCCATGGGTACAAATGGGCTCAACGACACACTAAATGTGTATGTGAATGTGAGCACCAGGATGGGGCTTCTCATATCGACGAATAACCCCTGCTAATGTGTAACCCTCAAACCAGACCATATGCATTAGCCACAACAATCTCCTTGAGGCTACTCCATCCCGGCTTGCACATCTCTTTAAGTAGATCTTCCGACCGCTTCGAAGGCTTAACATCCAAAAAATCGGCATCCTTATCGGGGGCAGGCAGATCTGTTGGCAGTTCCCGGTTCGGGAATATATCCCGATAGATGGTAGCTAAATCGTTCCAGAAAAACGGCCAGCCATACGCAAACAGGCGTTCGTTTTGGACCGTGGGATTGATCAAAGCCGCGACATGCAGAAGTGCGGCGTCTTCAATGCCCACACATTACCCTCCTTCAGGGTGAATTAGCTTCCATTCTTCGCATCGGTCGGGGCTACGGACACGGTTCAAACGTACCAATTGGGAGATGGGCCTTCACGTGTTCGGAAACTGAGGCCCAGTCATTTTTGATGATGGCTGCTGGCCATGACAGAGTGGAAGGAAACCCTTGATTTGGTGGGTCGAGAGGGGCACCATAGCACAATGAGGGTAGAACTGGACATGATGGTTTAAATCATTGGAACATATTCTGAGAGTGGAAGGAGAGACGTGCTTACCGGTATTTGCTACGAACCCGGGCTTGTGCTCTCTCACCCATTCCCAGATTCCTTGCTCCCCAAAGGCCTTGCTTGCGCTGTAGACGTCAAATCCTCTTCTCCATTCGGCAGGAGACCCCGTTTTGGCTCGCTGAATGGCAGTTTCGTTCCAAGTCTCCGAGGTGATCACTGTCTTACCATCCAGATCATCCAAGCCCATTGTGTTAGCCGCTTGGCAGGAGGAGGTGTAGACAAAGCGTTTGACGCTGGGCTCGGCTGCCGCGGAGGCAAGGATATTGTGATCCAGCCGTTTGATGGATTCGAATATCTCATCCGGACCATCGTTTGGACCAGCAAAGATGGTTACTACATGTGCCACTCCCGAGACACCATTGAATTGTACAGTTGAGCACCTAACTAGTGAGGTATCGTAGTGAATAATGTAGAGTGTACGGACCTTTCATAGCTTCGTCAAAAGCATCCGGACGCTGTATGTCCTGGACCTGGACCAGCTCAAAGCTGTCTTTCCCATACTTGTCACGGAAAAGATCTCCGATCCATTGGTGCCTCTGCGCATTCCGCACGGTTCCCCTGACACGATACCCGCGACTAAGCAGCCGATCGGCTACATTTGATCCGACCAAGCTATTGGCCCCAGTAACCAGGACCCATGATCCGTGAGGGATAGCTGATGTTTCAGAGATGGTCATTGTAAGTATGATGCTTCTGCAATGGTGTCACGATGAACGACGGCATGCCCAGAGCGATCAGCGAAACTCTCGCTGTTAAAAGTATCCCAGATGCCACGTAGTGCGGTGGAATAAGGTCCACCCAGTGATTCAAAAAGAACTCACTACTGTATTGGTGTAGAAGTAGTGCAGCAGTGATGGCCCCACTGATAGCCACGAACGCAGACCTTCATTTCATGCCTGCCTGTCTTATGGAGCCCGCTTTGCCATTTTTAGGGATTGGCAAGGGTCGGAGACGGGAAGCACTCGATTGTACCCACCAGTCCTCGGAGGAGGAGGGAAGTGTTTAGTCGAGAAGTTACATGAGGAGATTGAGATTGTGGACACTAGCGTTATTGGAGACCTCGAATGTAGGGCAAGCCTCGGGTGATCATGTGGATTTCGATGCCCGCTCTCTCTTGACTTCTAAGCACCACCAGCATCACCAACATGATCTATTCGAAAATATTAGCTTAAGCGGGTTGACTCGGGAGACACTGGCGTGAGTGGATGTTGCTTTCGGGAAACCGACAATTTGCTTTGAAAATCATGTGTTGTGCCTGCTTGCTTCGATCCCAGATGAGGCAACCCAATCAGTAAGTCCCTGTGAAAGTCGTCGTTCCTTGCGGGCATATACCGAGATACCCTCCTTGCTCCATGCAGTCAAGGTTTCGGTGAAAATGGCGGCAGCAAAGTTTATTTCGCATGGCGGATAATATCAAAAGCTCATCCAAGATTAGACGAAACGTCCCGCAAATTCATCGTATTGATATAGTTAGTCCATGCTCTAGTAGTTCATCGAGATGATCTGTTGTGCTTGTTGTTGTTGCTTATCCAGTAGCCTGGTGATGACCTGTTGATGACTGCGAGGGGGAACAGGCAACAGGGATGAATGAGTCAAGCGGGCTAAGGAGCCGCTAGTGACTTAGTAACTGTTAACTAGTAACCACTCATCGATCAAGTAACGAAGTACTAGAAAGTGACTCTGAATTGACCCTCACTTTTCCCCGCAAAAGCAATTCATTGCTCCCCCTTTCCCAAATCCACCCTCCCCCAAGGCCCATCCACCATGTCCGAATCGGTCCCGGAACTACGCTTCCGATCGGGAAATGTCCCAACGCGCTATTTCAAGGCATGTCGCTGGTGTCGCAAGCAAAAAATGCGCTGTGATGCCCGAAATCAGGTCCCTTGCGCCCGTTGTCGCGCCGTGGGCCGAGATTGCATCCTGGATCCGGTCGAGAGCGCAAGGCGACAGAGTACCCGGCGGTCATCCCCGGCTACTCGTCCTATTAGGTGAGAGGAATATACCTCTCTTAGAGCATCTGCGGAATGAAACCGAACTAACATATAGCTTGAAACAGGCGCCAACAGGCAAGGTCTCCTTGGACCGAACCACACGGCTTCGGGAGTCCTTCTCCCAGAGAACAGGATTACTCTACATCGACTACCGTACAAGATGTGCCAATCAAAGCCTCGCTCGATTCGCTCCCAGAGTCTACTGCCGCAGCGGATTTGAGTTCGCCTGGAACAGCAGAGCGACATGCACCGGAGCCCCAACAGTTGAGTCCTAATGACATGATCGCCCCGGTTTCCGTGATGCACTCCATGTCGGTCAATTTACTGGGATCAAGCAGCGTGAGTAGTTCGGAAGTAGTCTTCAGCTGCAGATTGTTGATGGTTCGCAGATCTTCATGGACAGCTCCAGCAAAGCGGATCCTAAGAGCGATATCATCGCCCGTGGGATCATCAGTGAAGAGCGTGCACGCGTGATGTATGACCGGTATGGTATCTCCCTGAATCGGACATCTACTGATTCAACGCTAACAGACTGTCAGCTTCATGGGTGGCAGTAAGAACTTCCTGGCACTGTTCGATCCCATTCGGGACACGTTCGATTCGGTCCGCTCTCGCTCCCTTTTCTGCTTCTCAGTCATCATCTACCTCGCTAGTCGGGCTGTGATGGACTTGCGGAGTGATACTCATCTTCAACGTGTTCTTCAAGACGAAGCGCAGAGACTGGCCGAGGATAGTTTCTTTGAGCGCCCCACCAAAGTTGAAACCGTACAAGGAATGATTCTGCTGGCTGCCTATTCTGAAAAGACGTGGTTTTCAACCGCACTCATCTTGCGTACCGCCCTCGATTCCGGGCTAGAGAAATCTCTAGATGCCTTACTGTCTCAGGAACACGTGCCGCGCAGTTCTTTGTCGGCTTCCATGGAAGATCGTAAGCTAGTGTGGCAGACCAGGACTTGGCTGATCAGCTTCACACTGGAACTAGACGTGGCATCCGGAACCGGCCGCAAGTCACGGATCGATGCAGTGGACACGATGAAATTGCGCAAATTCCTCGAGTATCCGCTATCCTTACCCTGTGATATGCGCACCATTTCCATCATAGAGATCCACCAGCTCCGAAGTACTACTATCTCCCTCGAGGACTGACTATCTGCTGACTAGAGTTCAGGCCAATCGCGCATGTCCATCGAGAACGCCAAGACCGTTGATGAAATTGTATTGGTTGAGCTGCCTGCGGTCATGACAAGACTGCAAACTTGGTGGAACACATGGGATGAAATCCATGGCAGTAAGTGCTCAGATGCAAGAAGGCCGTCAATCAGTGACCAGTAGTAATGGATTGTAGACAACGCCTTTCATGCCGGTGCCTTCCAGCGCTGTAGTCTGAAGTTGATGTTGAACTACGCCCGGATCTTCGTCCTATGCGCCTCCTTGGCTCGGATTCAGAAACTCCAATCCGGTGCTGCTGATCCCAACTCGGAGACAATAGCCGACAAGGATGTCTCACATTTGTGGCGCGCTCTCGCTACGACCATCATGGATCAATTGGATTGCTTCATTCAAGAAAGTGCCTACCGCTGCCAACTCACGTGGGCTCCTACCTACCCAGCCCTGACCCTTGCCTTTGTCAGTAAGTAGACACGAGACTCTAAACGTGGAGGCACGCTTGGTTTCGATAGGTCAGCTAACTTGAAAAGCGACATTCGCTCTCCGGATTGCTCGATGGCGTCCGGACTTGATCGATCAGGATCTTCTCCTTGAGAGGGCCCAGCTGATCTGCGATTTTCTCAAGCAGCCGCCCTATCCGGACATTCACCGTACCGTGTCCATCTTCGTCAACTACGGTCGCGCCCTAGTCGCTAGCCAACGAGGGCATGTGGACTACTGTGCAGAAGTGATAAAGCCCTCAGAACAAGCCAATGGGCAGTTCTCATTAGGTAGGGGGACATACGGAGTCCCGGTGGATGTGTCAACTTCTTCCGGGATGGCATCCGAACAGGTGAACTACCCGGCAGGCGCAATGACCTCTCAGGCCGACAAGGATAGTGGTGCCGCTGGGGTACCCAATGCTGAAAGAACTGCGCCTGGCAGACAGCTCCCTGCCAGACTGCCGGGGCCAATGGAAGCTCCTAATTGGTCGATGTGTAACCCCATTGCCGATTCATTTGGCTTGTTCGAAGAGGAGCAGAACGACATCTTTGATTTCTTACCAATGATGCCGTCAATTCCACAATAGTCCAGTGGTGTAGCACTGGTTGGCTACCAATGGGAAAACTATATCCTTCATTCATGACGGACGTGTCCCCTTCAATAGACGTGTAAGCTGGGTACGCCATCAGGAATTCGACACATTCGGGGTCAAACCATGGACTACACGAGGCGGACAACTAGGCATGCTCGTCGACGCTAAAGGTAGAAAGATAGCTCGAAAATGCGGTAAGGAACTTCCAGGGGAATATGTGCGGTGCTTGCGCTGCCGAACCCAACCTGCCGTTATCCACCCAGCAGGAAAATTGGCGCATAGCAGGCCGCTTGCTGATCAATCCTTGATGGGAAAAGCTGGATCTGATCCACCGAGCTTGGGCAGACTCGCCAAGGACAGACTTTTGCTTTCAATGACAGATGGTGTGGCCTTGAAAGCCAGTTTTTGAACCCGGCTCCTGATCGGCGCCGTCGCCGGGATGCTCTGTAGCCCCGGTGCCGGACCGGCCCCGATGCTGCAGTTGCAGAAGATGAAGATCCAACATCGCTCATTGGGCCACGAGGATGTATTGACGGTCCAGATTGCAGTGGACTCTTGCTCGCGAAAGGCCCTTCAGATAATTGACTAGTCTAGTCAATCATTGTGGAAATTCAGTGACTCATTTCCTACTATGAGGCCTCTATAAGGGTTTTAAGTCCGCGCGTCTCGTCAACGATTGACGGAGACACCGGGAAGTTCAATTTGAAAGGGGCTCAATCTGCTGTGATACAAGACGCGCAAGCCTCAGCCATGGCTACAGAACGCTGTTTCACTGCCCCCATCGGAGAGATCGACCATTCCGGTATGACCTCATCGTTGCCTGTCCCTTGCATTGCTAACCCTATTTCCCTATCCCCTGAATAGATCCAAATTGGAACCGGAGGAAAGATGCCATTCCATCCACCATCGTGATAGGGAAAATGTGGGCAGACAGTGAAGGATACAGATTCACCCGCTTGACGGAAGATCAAGTCCTTGTGGACTTTGATCATGATTCTGCGAGGAATCCAATTAATTGGACTCATGTGAGTTATCAAAACGACGGGCTATGGGTGCTTAAGCTGACATCAAGCCATCTGCGACAATTAGGGGAAGAAAATGTTCACCGTTCTCACAGCGCTCTTCCTAGTGCTCAACTCCGGGATATCGTCCTCTTTGCCCAGCAACGTCGTTCCAGCGATGATGCGCGAATTCAATGTTACAGGTGACATGCAGAAGGTTCTCCCCACCGCCGTCTTTCTTATTGGATATGTCGTGGGTCCCTTGTTCTTCAGCCCACTGAGCGAGACAATCGGGAGGAGACCTGTTCTGCTTGGTAGCTTCACCGTGTTTCTTTTGGGCACGATAGCGTGTACTTTTGCCCCAAACTGGCCAGCGATGTTGGTGTTTCGATTTATATGCGGAGCCATGGGGGCCGCTCCTCAAACCGTAGTAGGTGGAGTCT